CAAATAACCATGATTTTTAACTTATCCTGGCTATCATGTTCATTTTAAGTATGTTGGATATAATAGCTACTACACAGCCCTAGAAAGGAGCTTTTATTTTACTTATTTTAGCCTGGGTATTTTTATGATCTTTAAGAATAAAATAAATATGTCTGTTGGTTAGAGCCCAGCCTTGTAACACCAAGGTCAAGGGTTCTGATCCCTGTATTGGCCAGCTTCTGCCACCCCATCCCCCCAATTCTCATAGTGCTTTTTTACAGGAACCAAAATTTTTAACTCAATTCAGTATTCGTGTTAAATGTTGCTTAACCGCTGTATGTGGTGTTCATTTGATTCACAAATAGTTGAATAGCACATGGGGGAAATAAATTTTATTTTTCATTTAATCTCCATTCTTCTTAGCATGATGCTGTGCCTTAATTGCTCCCATGCAAGGAGACTGGTGCCCTTTTATGTTCATAACACATGGTTCAAAGAACTCAAGAGCTTTCTTTTTATCTATGATCTTCCAAAAACAGGTTGCATATACTTAATTTTGTTGCTCTGCATTGTCATGAGTTCTGCCAGCTGAGTAAAATACATTACTCAGGTCATGCCCTCCTTGGTCTCACCAGCAGAAGCTTGTTCTGTCTGGAGCAGGCTGAGATTCTCTGCTGGGGTTCTAAGAAGTGGCTCACTCCATGAGTTAGTTGGTTGCCTCATCCATGTTTTCTTTCTCTTTCTATTATAAGGAAAACAGAGGTAACGAAGAGCTGGGCTCATCTCTCTCCTAATATGATGCTAAATTATTATTTAACCAGTGGTCTTTCTTGCTGTTTTGTAGGAAGGAAAGTGAATGAGGAAGTGGGTCATTTAAGAGTATTTGAAAGACTAGTTTCAGGGATCATTTCTGTAGTTGGTTATAGAGAAGTTTCTCTGAACTTGTAGAAAAAAGAGAGTATTTGGAACTTTTGCCAAACAAGAAGGAAAGTAGACCAGTTCTCAGAACTTCCGGTTGTTTATTTTTCTTTTTGTTACCATATTCAAATGAAATGTTTCATTACAATTCAGGATAATTTCAGGAAGATGAACAGTCATTAAGAAGGAATTGGACTGAGCTGAACAGATGAGTAAATCCATGAATGTTTCAGGTTTCTAAAGTCTAGGACTGAAGCCTGAGAAACGTAAATACACGTACACATCAGTTTTTAGGACAGTGCCACTACACTCTTCTTCAAATAGCAAAATCCGAAAGTATGTGCAAAATTTTGTGCATGCTCATTTTTCAGGAAGATAGTGTTTATAGTCTTAATCAGATTCTTAAAGAGTTCTGTGTCCTGTACAAGGTTAACAACTGCAGAGTAAAAATATCAGCCTGTTTTTTTGCTTCCTGAAGCCTTTTTATTTAAAATTACCCTTGGCCAGTACATTTGCCTTCAAAATTTTTTCCCCCTTTCATTTTCTGATGTTTAAAAAGAAGAGGTGTGGATTTATATAAGAAGGTTTATCTGTAGACAAAGAAACTGACTTAGCTTGAGTCATAAGGCCTCAAGTATGTCTTGGTCAAGGTGGTAGAGATTCCTTAAGGAAACTTCTAGCAAAAGTGATGTAATTGAAATTGAGTAGGTTAATAGGCAATTAATTGTCAGAAAGCAATCTCAAACATGCAGTTCTGGGAGACGAGTAGGGCCTTTCAGGCAGATGGTGGGCACCAAGTACTACGCTGCTGATGCACGTGCAGTGTGTCAGGGAGTGATGTGCTTGTGCTCACACTGAAGTAGGAAAGGTCCCCTGGCCTGACCCAGCCTGGCTCCTGCTGCATCCTCCAGTGAAGCTGCCATTTTCGTGAGATGATCTCCATGTCACAGATTCAGTGTTCTAATTTACTGCAGGAAGAACAGGCCTTACTATTTGAGGAGCTTGGCGTGCATTAGAAATTCTCGAAAGCATGTGGCAGAAAGAGGGATTTATTACCAAGGAGAGATTGTCATCTTCACTCTCCTGGCTACTAAAAAAACACCCTTTATATTTTCAGGTTCACCATAGCTACACTATCTGCTTCTCATCCCAGCTTCTCTCTCCTGATGGAGCAGCAGGAGCTTCGCAGGCAGTGGAGGGAGGCCAGTCCAGACCCTCTCCTCCGTGCCGGTGCTCCTGTTCTGAGTGTGAATGCTGCAGTCAAATCAAACTTGTGAGGGCCTTGATATTTAGAACTATTATGCTGCATTTTGATAAGGTGACATATTCACATTTTCTCCCTTGAGATAGTAGGGAAAAGAAGTTTATTCTCTTTGAAAAGACAAACTTTAATTTCTTTTTTGCCTAAGGCTTCTTAATTTTTTCCATGAATATTTTCTTTGACTTTTCAGTAAATATAACTACTGTAGATTATAAGTCAGCACGGTCCGTGCCTGTTTTTACAATATTAACAACTCCTTTAGACATCTTTGCTTATTAGTAAAAAATTTCACATCAAGCATGAGGTAAATTACATCTAGATTCTTTAATAGTAGAAATATAGAATAACCATCCAACAGCCAGCACTTTATTATATATGCAAGGCACATTTAGGTACTAATCAAAATGCAGTTATAGAATTGCCAGTCATACTGTAGCCAAGAAAAAATTTAAGTTGCCATCAAGCTGACTCAAATGTTTTCTATAGAAAAACTGTCTTCAACATTTGGAATATAGTATTTCATAACGTGTCCTAAAGTTAATACATAATAGAACATAAGGTTTTGGATGCCAGTCAGAGCAGCCACTTATGTTCTGGAGTTTCCCTTCTTAGCATCTTCACCTGGAATATAAATAAATTAAACAAGGGAGACTGTGAGTTTCTGGGTTTTTGGTGGTTTGTTTTGGTGTTTTGCTCTCTAAGTACCGCTCGTCTCTGAGCTGCAAGGGGTGGACTCTTCTCCCAGCTTCACAGTCTGTCCCACTGATGACTCACTTTTATCTCTTTCACCAGAATGTGTTGTTTGCAGGTTAAAGTGAAACAACCTATTCTGTCAAAAACCCTCTTAAAATATTTACCTCCTTTGAGATTTGATGAGATATGACATCCAAGTAGATTGTCTCCTACATGAAGCTTCAGAGGGGGCTTTCAGATCCTCCCCATTAGTGCTTTTCATTTCTGCTTTCTTTTTTTTTTTTTTTTTTTTTTTCCTTTTTGTTTTTTTTCGTGACTGGCAATGGATCGCAACCCTCAGTGTCTCCTACATGAAGCTTCAGAGGGGGCTTTCAGATCCTCCCCATTAGTGCTTTTCATTTCTGCTTTCTTTTTTTTTTTTTTTTTTTTTTTCCTTTTTGTTTTTTTTCGTGACTGGCAATGGATCGCAACCCTCAGTGTCGCGCCCGTACCGGACCGGGACCGGCAACGGGATCGCAACCCTCGGTGTTGCCCCCGCACCTCGCTCAGCCAGTGAGCGGCCAGTCTGCATGTGGGATCCGAACCCTTGGCGGGAGCGCCGCTGCGCTTCCCAAGCAGCGCACTGTAGCAGTGCGCCACCGCGCCGGCCCCTTCATTTCTGCTTTCTATTTAAAATTCATCAGCTATCAAACCATCCACTCTTTGTCCCCTTTTCCCACCCGCCCTCTATTTTGTATTAATGTCTTTTTCGTTTGGGGCTGTTTGGTTAGGCCTCAAACTTTCCACAGCTACTTGGAGGACATCATCAACTACCGCTGGGAGCTGGAAGAAGGCAAGCCCAACCCTCTGAGGGAAGCCAGCTTCCAGGACCTGCCTCTGCGGACCCGCGTGGAGATCCTGCACCGCCTCTGTGACTACCGGCTCGATGCAGACGATGTCTTTGATCTTCTCAAGGTGCTCAGCTGGCAAGCCTTTCTTTCCCCTAGAGCAGTAGAAAGCCAGCAGTCAGGAACGCAGTCAGAGTGGAAGATTCGAAGATAGTAAGAGAAGCCAGAGGTTGGCTTATGTTACTAGGCTGGGCCTCTTCATTGACAGTAACGCTGTATACAAAACCGTGATCACTGTAGTCACAGGAATGCGAGACATAAATCTGTATGGCACTGTGTTACTTTGGTTTGATTTCTAGTCTTGTCTTGTCTTTGCTTACATGCACCGAGTTCCAGCTGAGATGGGAACAACCAGAGGCACCTAATTCTTGTCCTGTCATTAGTCAAAATTGTAATTAAATTAGCCACTGAATTTTATTTCCCATGTTCTAAATTTGATTGAGCATAATTGAAATATTGATTGAAAACTCCAAGGACTTGAAACCATATATGCTAGTGGAGTTCATTCTCTATACAAATTACAAAAAAATTGTTTGAGAAGGAAGATGTGGGTATCTCTTCCCCTTATTCTGTTGCCATTGTCTATTATAGAAGTATATCGTAGAGGGAGGGTGTGGGTTATTGCTTTCATTCATGGAGAGTTCAGTTTCTAATCCTGTTCAGTCATAAATGATTGATTAAATGTATTGATGACTTCTCAGTTCAGCTCCACACATGAACATGTTAGATTTGTGTGGTTTAGTGATTTAGTGCAGTTTTTGGTAAGGACTCAAGGACTTACCAAAGTGGGAAGGCCCTGGGGTGAATTGGGGGCTGTGTTGCTGGATCTCAGCTGGAATAAGAGGTTGCTGTAGCTTATGGCAGAGCTGTGATAGACGGTCACCAGGGGCAAAGCTTCCACAACATCTGAGTCTACTCTGTTGTAATTATCTTTTTCTTCACGTTTTCACACATAAAATAATAGTAACTAAATGAAATATATGAAATGTTCATCAGGATTCCTTTTGTTTTCTCTTTTGTGTTAAAATGGGCCGTGGTGGGGTAGGGAGCACTTGAGATATTTCCATATCTTTTTCTTGAAAGAAGGTACCACCTTCCCATTCTGTCTGGTTCATATACCCTGATTGAAGACTACATAAGATACTTGGGCATTTTTAAATGTGAGGCATGTCTGAGTATAAATTTTGAATCTTCATTTTAGTTTTCTCCTGTTCTACCTAGGGTCTGGATGCAGACAGTCTCCGCGTGGAGCCACTGGGGGAGGACAATTCTGGAGCACTCTATTGGTATTTTTATGGAACACGAATGTACAAAGAGGACCCGGTACAAGCAAAATCCAATGGAGAACTCTCTTTGAGCAGGTATATTCTTTAATGTCAGGACTGTGAAAGCATAGCTATTATATAAAAATGTCATTAAAATTAAATGCATCAGAATTCTACAGCACAAATTATTTCTAATGAAAATTGAAGGAATGAAGGAAGGAGTCAGCTAATGAAGGAATCAGCTGTGTCAGCATGCCTGCAAAGAAGTGGCAAGGAATTATTTCATACAAAAATAAAAAGGAATTAATCTATAGCCTCTATTACCAGAGTGAGGAAAGATACTGTGTTTTTGGTGTACATTCTTGATGTAAGGTTTCTGAGGTGACTACCCCTACCGCAGACTATTGTATACAGCAAGTTTCTTTTCAGAAGTACAATCGTATCATTGAAACAGTTTTATCTTTTATAGTCAGTCCTTGAGAACGTCTTTATACTACTAGAATTGAGATCAGCTTTATGAACCTTAGGCTCCATGAGTGTAGAACCAGAGGACCTTACATGATGCCTGAAACATAAGCCGGACTAAGTGCTTTCTAAATGAGGGGGAGGCCACATTCCCGTAACACCCAAGAATGATGTTAACCTTTGTTTTATTTAGATTTTCTTATTGCGAGGAGCACTGCTCACTATTAGGAAGGTGGTAGATCTTACTCATAATTTAATTTTGCAAAATGTCAGTTTTCCTTGGTTCCTCATTCTAACGATGGAAGACTAGCAGTCAGTCTGCACTTTCCCCATGACGGCTACATTAATATCCATTTTGGTAATAACTTCATGGCCAGAAATACTATAATTACTAATTTAGAGGGAAGGGATGGGCAGCATACAGTAAGTACAGGGATCGAACCCTGGACCTTGGTGTTGTCAGCACCACGCGCTAACCAACTGAGCTCACCGGCCAGCCTATAATCACCAATTTAAGAATCATATATCAGTGCTATGCCAGAACATTTCTATTTAATAATACTATTTCTCAGGGAAAGTGAAGGACAAAAAAATGTCTCAAGTGTTCCTGGAAAAACAGGAAAAAGGAGAGGAAGACCCCCAAAACGGAGGAAACTACAGGAGATCATGGTGAGGTGAGAAAGCCTTGTCAGTCTGTAGTCTTAGGCCGTCGTGCTGGGCCCTGACTTCCTTGTCCCTTCATCGTGACTTGCATGCACATCGTGGGAAGGACATAGACTCAGGCTGTGGGGACCTGGATCAGGGTCCTCCTCAAATCAAGTGTGCACTAGGAATCAGAAAGCCCTCACTGCCAGCTACCCACCACCTCTAAGCGTGCTCTTTCCTGGACCGTGGTTACCTTTCTAATGAAGCTTAAATTGAACAAGACGATGGATGAGAGTGTAACACACTGAAGCCAGGCACAACCATAGTAAGTGTCCAGCGTGCGTTGACTTACAGAATGTGTCACCCTACACACTGTTTCCCACAGGAGGATGGAGCAAGTTACTTCTGCGGTTGAGCGTTTTAATAGAATTGTATGTCATATTGGAGTTAGAAGTTAATTCTTTCCCATTAGGAAGAATTCACTCATTAACATGCCAAAACATGCTTTATTTTGTGTAGAATGCAATCTACAAAAAAGAAAAAGTAAAATCTTACCTTTTTTTGTTCTTTTATATTTAATTTTAGGGAAAAAAGATTCTGTTATATTTGGGAAATTTCCATTAATACGTCATTGTCTTTTAGGATATGCCACCATGTGAATCTTGATATAAGGGTCTGACTTGTCCTGTATAAACACACACTTCTCCTTACTATTATTATAAATCTATGGAAGTGAGGCCATGTTCTTAAAAATTATAACACCACCAAACAGATGCTTTTCTCTAAATGCTTCTATTAGACTGTACTTCACTGTGTTGCTTTTTTTTTTCTCTTTTTGGTGACGGGCCAGTAAGGGGATCCCAGCCCTTGACCTTGTTGTTACCAGCACCACACTCTAACCAAGAGAACCAACCAGCCAGCCAGCCTGAGTTGCTTTTTAACCACTAAGAAATATTTCTAGGAAATAAGTTTATGAGTATATCGGTCAGAATTTTTTTTTTTTTTTAACTCAATGGGCATTCCACTTAACTATCCAGAAATCTGACTACTACAGATTGCAGCTGTCTATTTCCTCCTTACAACTGTGTGAGAAATGCCCTATAATCACTTGTGTTGCGTGAACACATCTGTTTCTGCATTTTGTTAGAGGTGCACATGTTCTTCTGTCTTCAGAAGCTGTTTTATATTTACCTCCATTTCCCTGTAACTACCAGGAATGTGGTCTCCCTTCCACGAGGACACGTGGACTGTGCTGCCCTCTAATGTTGCTTTCGTTCCTTCAGTGCTGTGCATCTGAGGCCGTGTTCAAGATTGTATTTTTTATTAGCATATTCATTGTTACACATCATACTTACTCCTTTTGCCCCTTCTCCCTTCCCGTCCTTCCTCCTCCCTCCCTCTCCCCACCTCTAATAACCATAGATCTGTTCTCCCATCTGATAGATTAACTGTTCCTCGGTTGGTTTGTTGCCTGCATGATCTGTCCAGTACTGAGACAGGCGTGATCAAGTCCTCCCCTATTATTGGAAATCAGATACTTCTTCTGTTACTCTGGAGTGTGCTTTGTAGAGAGAGAGGACCTTTTTTTTTTTGGTCTCTGCTGGTGCCTCTCCTTGTGTCAATGCAGTTGAGAGTCTGGCGTGCCATCTGCACGGTGGCTGTGACTGGTGTAGAGACTAGCCGCTTTTGCGGCAGCCACAGCAACTGTGGTGGTGTTGAGGGCTACCCCATGTGAAAATGCTGGTTTTGGTGTGCTGTTTACCTGGGTTCAGCTTTGCCTGGCTGCACACCTCAGGACCTTAGCGGGGCCCTGGGGCGGTGGCGGCAGCTTGCCTAATTGCTGCTGGGTTTGGTTTCCCCTGGTTCTGTACTTCATTCTAAGATGCTGTTGTGGAGTAGTTGGGAAGAAAGAGAAGGGAAGGGGGAGGGGAAATAGGGTGGGAAGAGGGGGAAGGATGGGGAGCATGATCGAGGCCCATGGCCCTCCCCCCACCCCCCATTCCAGCAGGGGAGACCAGGGGCTATCAGAGGTGGCTCGGTCATCACTAGGCTGGTTGCAGATGTCTGGGGTGCATGGCTGAGGCCGTCGGCCCCCCCATGACCTCAGCTTGGGAGCCTGGGGCACTTATGCGGCAGCTGAGTGGTTGTTGCTGGGCTGGTTGGGGATGGAGGGGGCTGAGGCCCTTGGCCCTCACCCTTTTCCCCCTCCCTGGCTTGGGATCCCAGGGGGCTTCCAGTCCTTCTAGGTTTTACAGGTGTTCTTTAGTGGTGTTAGACCCTACTAGTTAATATCAAACTTTGATCTGTGGGGTTTTTGTTTTTCTTTCAGTTCTGTGTTGGGCTATTCGCTACCCCCATCACTTAAACTGCACTGAAACTAATTTTTTTGTCCTTTGCTTACTTCTAAAATGGAGGAACTTCCTGTGGGGACCAGCACTTGAGCCCTATGGTTGAACTAAATGGCTGCTTTGCTGCTGGTTCCCTGGGGAAGGCTTTTTGTGCAGCTCAAGTTTCAGTGGTCGACCTTGTAAGCACTTCCGGGTCTTGGGAGGTCCAGGACACCTGGGTTGTGTGGAAACTCTGGTCTGGGCCTGAGTCTTTTCAGCAAACTACATCCCCTGCAGTTCTGTATTCCTGGCCAGTCTCCTCTGAGTGGTCCTATGCTGATTGGGGGCAGATCAGATCACTAAACACCTCCCATGGGGTGGGCCCTGCACTGGTCCCTTGCAATGACTCACCGGCCTCTGAGTGGCTCCCTTTTTTTAGTTGTTGTGGCTCCTTGCTCCTGTGTGGGTCCATGGGAACCCTATTAGTGGTCTTGCTGGCCTGGGGGACACCAAGACCCTCTTCTCCCCTGCCACCTCCAAACAGCTTCCACTGAAAGGCACAGCTGCAGCTTTTGTCAGCTCCTGCTCCGTGCACTCACCAGGGCCAGCCTTGAAGCAGCCGGGGCTCAAAATGATAGCAGTGGTCCTGTCTTTCTATCCTCATGGCTTCTCCCACCTTCATGCACTCCATAGGTCTCTCCTCCTCTTCCCCTGAGCCCTAGCGGCTCCAGCTTGGCTGTCATTGCTTTTTAATAGTTGTAAATTGGTTAATTGTGGGAGAGTGTGATGTTGGGGGCTGTCTATTCGCCATCTTGACTGGAAGCCTAAAATCATATTTTTAAATTAAATAAAATTTAAAATTCAGTTCTTTGGTCACACTAGCCACAATTCAAGCTGCATGTGGCTTATGGCTACCATACTGGACAGCAGCAATATAGAACCTTTTCATCGTCACAGAAAGTTGTATTGAACAGTACGGCTTCAGATATTTGAAAACGAACCAAAAATCCAGTGTTTCCTTTTCATTTCAGGGATGTAAACAACAATGATATTTAACAATATTGTGCTGAGCACTTTTGCATTTTGTAACTTAATCCCAGCATCCCTGTGAGGTAGGCACTATTATTAGCCCCATTTCACAGGAAAGTTAATGAACTTTCCAGAAGTCATGTGGTAAGTGGCAAACATTGAATAGAGGCAGTTCAACTTCAGAATAGACATTCCTCCACCCTCCCACCTCCTGCCCCCTTTTTTGGCAGCTGGCCAGTACAAGGATCAAACCCCGGACCTTGCTGTTTCACACCGTACTCTCACCAACTCAGCTAACTGGCTGGCCCTCCGTTTTTAACCTCTACTTTATACAAGCATACTTCAAAAAGTTTATGGAAAGATTCATATTTGAATTTTGTCTTTCCACAGATTTTTTAAGTACCCTCATATAAATTTAAGTTAATACCTGTCTTCAGTGTATCCCTAAATCAGGGAGGAGGACATTAGAATCTCTACAGTTCTCTTTCTTAGCATTTAACTGGTAACACTTCATTCATCTGTTTGATTTCCAAAAAGTTGTCTGAGTTAATAATTTCCTGTGTGTCCATGTTCTTACCATACTACTGGGTTCCTATATGGCAGGACTTTCCCTCTATACTGACAAGCCTACGTGCTAGTGTTCCTTATTCCATAGAATTTTCTTCTAATCTCGCCCCCTTGTCTCTCTCACACACACAGACTTTAGCATTGAGTTAACTGGGTCTCCCTTCTGGGGGAAGCACAAAACAATTTTGGACGTGTCTTTGTTTTAATTGGTGCCTCCTTTTCCTGTGTTTCAGTGAAAAGCAGGAAGAAAACTCCTTGGCATCTGAGCCACAGACAAGAAATGGTAATGATCTTTGCTGGAGTTTAGAAAGGATTAAGTAAACATGATTCATTTACATTACGATGGTGACTCTCTTTTTCCAGAGTCATGCAAAGTAGTTAAGGTTATTACAGCAGTCTCTGACGAGCCTTCCTGCGCTTCTTCAGCCCTCTCTTGCTCAGACTTTGTCCTGTGCCCATCTTTCCATCTGACGGACCACTTGAGATCAGGACTGGTGCCTTGCTAACTGGGCGCAGTGTAATAGACACCCAAACATTTGGACAAATTAGCAGCATCTCAGCTATCTTTTTAATGTCAACGCTTTGTGACATGATGGTTTCCTTATGGGTTTAGTACATACCGGCTTTCTACCTAAATTCACTCTGTAATCCATATAGCACAAATTTGGGGGGAAATACCATTTTACAGTATTACAATGTAAATTCACAGAGGTTAAAACTCAAAATCATTTTCATATAAAAATGTATTTAAACATTTCAAGTATGTTAAAATCTATCTTGTTAAAGTCACATTAGTTACATTTGTATTGTCTTTAGGCATTCCTTTAGTTGTAAACGATGACAGTAACAGGAAAAATCAGTCAACCTTAAGAAAGTCATAGGTCTCATTTTTTTCTGACTCCCTAAGAAATGAAATTGAGAACAAATAGGAAAAAAGGTTCTAGTGAGTCCGTCCCTTTCTTTTCTAGGATCTCAAGGGCCAGGCCAAGGCACTTGGTGGCTCCTCTGCCAAACAGAAGAAGAATGGAGGCAGGTCACCGAGAGTTTCCGAGAGAGGACCTCCCTTCGAGAACGGCAGCTCTACAAGCTGCTCAGTGAGGACTTCCTGCCTGAGATCTGCAACATGATTGCCCAGAAGGTATGCAAACACCGATGCGTACGGGTCCTTCCCTCCATGTTGGGGGCGATGCTATGTTACTTAAGGATTATTAATTTGAACCGTTGAATACATTTCACTGTCCTTTAAGTGGCACAGGCTTTCATCCTCTCTGAACTGGAGTGTAAAAGGGGCCTCTCAGAAGAAGAGAACAAATCTATGGTTTCTAGAAGTGGGAAAGTGGGAGGGAGAGGCGGTTAGGGAGAAATTGAGGGGCACAAAGAATAATTATGATTTGTAATAATGAACATGCTAATAATAATGATATTCACAAATACTGATAGTCAACACTGTACCCCAAAATATGTATAATCAGTTATGCTTCAATGTAATAAATAAGAAAATAAAATGGTACCTCATGCCACTCTCCATCTCTCTGGGTCGTGTAATGTTCTCTGTTCCTCAAGAAGTCCTCAGTGAACACCACCCTCCAATGCTTTTGCAGTCGGGAACCAACTTTCCTTCCTCTATAGCACTCCTGCGGAAACAGTCCTGGAGCCCGCAGGTGTGCCTCATGTCACACTGTACGTACTTCTGTATATATGCTTTTTTAAAAAATGATCTTATGGGTCTGTCTCTCCCCCTAAGCAGAAAACCTTGATGAGCATTTGTCTTTGTAGCTCTCCTGCCCGTTCTCTACCAGGCTCCACCTGAGCTGTCTGCGCCTCTTCTCCAACTTCAGGGCAAGTTGTTTCATAAACCATATGCTTTCTATTTTCATGCATATACACCCTAATTCATGGCGTTTTAAAATATCTTTCCTATTTGAATACTACTCTCTCAAAAGTCCAAATTAAAAATCAGTATCTCCTTGAACTGTCCTGGTTTCTCCCAGTTTCAGAATTTCCTTTCCTAACATGTTTCCTTATGCCTTAGGTTATTTTTATTGTGAGGTCAAGCTTCTTTAGCTCAAGGGTCATGTCTTACTCTTTTTAACCCCCGCAGCACCTAATGTAATGCCTTTTTCTTTGGTGGATTCTTGATAATCATTCAGTTTGCATATTCCATTTTAATAATGCTTATATTTCTGATTATTAATACATGTTAATAGAAGGCCAGAAATATTTAACCACCTGCCAATGAAAAGTGAATTGAAAGTATTTATAAATTATCGCTGTAACACCTACAGGGAAGTACAAAATGTCCAATATATTACAGTTTGTTGTGGATCCTATGATGTTTCTAACCCTTAAGCAGGTTGATGCTTTAGGGAAAGTTCTAGAAATTCACCTTTCTCTAATAGCAGAAACTTATAAATGGTGCTTTAAGAACTGAGATGTCGTTGATGATCAAGGAAAAGTTGCATTTTCCCATTAGTGTACTTAACTAAACGTAATTATAAGCAATTTTTGTGATCTGCAACCCACTGTAACAGTTTTTCCAGGGATTGAAATACATCATCTAATTTTCTTAAAGTAACTGTGATATAAAGAGATATTTTATGACTTTGCATGACCTTGTATATGACTTTGCATGACCTTGTATATGACTTTCTTGATGTGACCAATGACGGCACCTTAAATCATTTAAAAGGAGTCTTCACAAAGTTCATGGGAAGATTGTATTACCTTTTAATTCTATTTTCCTCAAGTTTTTTGAAGTACCCTCGTGTAAGTCATGTAACTAATTAGATTAAACCTTTCTCTTATAATTTCTGCCTTTTTACTGAAATATTCAACCTAAGATTTGAGGGTATAACAGTAGTAAGGGGGAAAAAACTAACAGACATAAAAATGATGGCTTTGATAAAAATTTTCAAGAGTCAGTTCTTTTCAAGAGGAGAAAAAATTAAAATACGATAAACCTTAAATGTAATTTTTAAGAACCATGAAATTAGAAACCAAGAAAAAAAATAATAGATATGATATTTTGAAAACTTATAATATGCCCTAAATTTGAAAGCTTCAGTGAAGTAGAATGTTAACCAGAAAAAAAGGAATCTAAATTGTGAAGTAGAAAATCTCAGCAGACCAGAACTTAGGAGAGAAGCGTTTCACAAAAGGATCCCACCAAAAGCCCCAGAATCTGTTGGATTTATTCACAAGTCTTCAAGGAAAAGATAATTTCCAGACATTTCAAAAATGAAAAAAATGGGAAGCTACCCCATTCATTCAGACAGATACTTTGATCCCCATTTGTGATAAGTTTAAACATACTCTCCTCATTCAGTAATGTATGTCAAGTTTTTAATATTAACAGGTATAAAAGCTGTGTCTTTACCAGAAGCGTAGTGCATCATAACCCATCGGGGTTAGTCTGAGGCTCTGATTCTGGTAATATTGTTTTGGAAGTCTTGTCCAGTGTAATATAACAAAGAAGAATAATAGAATGTAAATTTTAGAATGTTTGCCTGGAGGACTATAAATCCTATTAAAGTCTATTATTTAGAGTTTAGTTACAGTGCTGGGCTCTCTGCCCCAGAAGCACCTGGAATGCTTATTAAAAACTCAGATCTTGGGCCGGCCTGGTGGCGCACTCAGTAGAGTGCGGCACTTGGGAGCGCGGCGGTGCTCCCGCCGAGGGTTCGGATCCCATATAGAGACCAGTCCGCTCACTGGTTGAGCGTGGTGTGGGCGCGACACCAAGGGTTGCGATCCCATTGCCGGTCACGAAAAAAAGACAAAAAGGAAAAAAAAAAAACTCAGATCTCTACCACTGCACTATTTCCAATCCCCATCATAATTGTTAGAGGTCATTGTGTGAACTGAAACTTAAAAGTTACTGAAAATAAACCCCAGTTGCAGTAGCAACAAAACAAATTTTCAGTGATTCTGACTAGAGTTGTGCATAGTCTATAACAAAGTCTGCGAAACAATTAGTAGATATATATTTTTAAAGTCTCTTAAAGTGTTAAGGCCTGTTTGTTCCTGAAAAGAAAGCGTAAATATAGATCACAATATTCACCAAGATAAATCAAAATTTATTATAACCAGGGCCAGCCCGGTGGCGCACTGGAGAGTGTGCCGCTTGGGAGCGCGGCGGAGCTCCCGCCGAGGGATCAGATCCCATGTGGAGACCAGTTCCCGCTCACTGGCTGAGCGCGGTGCAGGCGCAACACCGAGGGTTGCGATCCTGTTGCTGGTCCCCGGTACGGGCGCGACACCGAGGGTTGTGATCCCGTTACCGGTCAGTAAAAAAGACAAAAAGGAAAGAAAAAAAAGAAATAAAGTGATTGAAATATATACTTTTTAAAAATTCCTTGCTTTGTCTATGTTAACCTGCCACTACCCAGCCCAATTGCATCAACGAAGAAGGATTTTGTTCTAAAAATGAAATGTGAAAATTGAAAATCAGTAGAAAAAAGTGTGATGCTCACAAATAGACGCTGTTACGTATTAAAATATAGTACATAAAGGAGGCACAAAAATCTGGGCAGTGGAGAAAGGGGTAATGTGGGAAGTGGGAGTGGTATGAGCTTTTCTTTCCAGCTTATTTGAATTATGGTGCAGCACTGTCTAGCTGTCCTTTGGATAAGGTACTAGATATCTCTGAGTCTGTTATTAGTAAAATGAAATGCCAGTACTTTACAGAAGTTTCTGTGGGAATTTAAAGAACCCGAGTCATCGTGAATTTAAAGAACCCGAGTCATCGTAGTCAGCATGGTACTTAGCAGCCAGGAGGCACTTGGTCCCCTTCATTGTTTATGGTGGTGGGTGATTGAGAGAAAGCTTGGTGGGAAACTGTCAGCATTTTTAAGTAAAATAAGTTCAGAAAGAGAGGAGATTTGGTACACGTTTGGTGGTAAGGTAGCCCTCTGAACTTTCCAATAAGAAAAAAATCAGAAGGTAAGGCCTGCTGTGACCATATAAAAGTGAAACTTTTTGAAGTAAAAGGGGATGTAGACTACTGAAAGTGTTTATTGCTAGTATTACAGAAAGTAACATTTAGTCAGCTTGTAAACCTTAGATTTTTAACAAATAATTGACTAAGGGTGTAGATACTAACGCAAAAGGTGATAGTAACATTTTCAGGGAAATACGTTCACCCTTTGTGTCAAGAATAGCATGTTGCTCGTTAGTAACTTATCTGATTTGGCAAAATCGGAGTGACGCTGGTATCGGCTTCTTTTACTACTAACATAGTAAACTGGCACAGTCCCCTTGGAAGACTGTGTCATGGTAAGTTTTTAGCAGTTGTTTAAAGTCAGAGAGATCTTCCTTTTAGGGTCTTGAAGCTTATAAAGGAGTTGCTTGTAGGCATTTTTGAGGAAACTGCTAGGGTAGCTTTTGGGGAACAGCACCTGGAGAGGGTCAGCACCCCCTGAGGGACCTGGGACTGCATTTGCACGGGGCTTCGTCATTCTCTGTCTGGAAATGGAAAAGCCTCCTCAAGCTGCTGGCTCATCACGCCGCCACTGTTACTCTGCAGTATGTTCAAGTCGCAGAAGCCACCCCTTGTCACTAAGTTTCTTCCATTTCCTTTGATTCTTTACCTTATTGATTCTTTACCTTAAGAAGTCTCAAGAATTTGTATTAAGTGGTGCCAGAACCCAACCGAGATAATACTGATTTTTGATGCTGAAGCTGTAGAAGTCCCACGGTCTTCACTGAAGGCCGTGCTCACCCCCTTTAACAGTGTGTTGTGATTGTTGAAGCTGTGGGGCTCATTCCACAAAACCTTGGCCTTCAAAGTAATTACCTAAATTTAGATAGTTCTTGTAACTCCTTCTTTGAAGTTTCCTGCAGCAGTTACCTCAGGCCTATTGCATCTCTTCAGGCTCGACTCCTCGCCCTGAGTCTCTTCCCACCCTGAGCAGCTGCTCTCTCCTCATCACTGACCCTGAACCGCCACCCAAGGGCAGCTCTGCCCCCAGCTGTTCACTGGGGCTCTTTCAGAGCCATTTCCTTCAGCTGAAGGTGACAAAACACGGCTTTCCCTTAATAATTTGGAAAAAAAAGAAAAATTTAAAAAAAAAGTTTAAACAGTTAAGAGAGTTTCTTGCCAGTGACAAAGATTGTCAAAGGAGAGGGCCGGCCCGGTGGCGCACTCGGTAGAGTGCGGTGGCGCTCCCGCTCCCGCCGAGGGTTCGGATCCTATATAGAGACCAGTCCGCTCACTGGTTGAGCGCGGTGCGGGCGCGACACCGAGGGTTGCGATCCCGTTGCCGGTCACGAAAAAAGACAAAAAGGAAAAAAAAAAAAAAGATTGTCAAAGGAGACACTTGGTTTTCTGTGTTATTGTTTTTGTTGTTTTAAAGGAACAAGCCGGCTTGGTAACTTGCACGGCTGAGTAGTTGCTCGTCTGATTTCCTGAGGATGCCTTTGGCTCTCCGTCTTAGATAAACCCTTACCTGTGTGCCTTCATGGCCTCTCCTACTAGCAGCAGTGGTAGCAGCAGCCGAGAACACCCTAATCTATCTTTTCCTTTCTTTTCCTCGCCTGTAACTATAGGGAAAACATCCACAGCACACAGGGGCACAGTTGCAACCTAGGTGGATGTCTGACCACCTGTCCCTCAAACCTGTCAGGCAAGAGGTGAGCATGTGAGAGTAGGGGGAGGAGTTTTAGGTGTTCAGAGATGACAGTTCCATTTTATTTCTTGTACTTTTATTCCTCCATTATTTTCCTTTATCTCATTCTTCCCTAAGTCTCAAACTTTTATTGAGCATTTATACGTAAAACATATTTCTAGAAAGAGAAGGAATTATAGAAATAAGACATGAGGTTGCACTCACTTGGATCTTAAAATTTCCTGGGTTCATGGGCACATTCATATTTAATGGAAATGAGAATAAATATTATAACAGGTTATGTGTAATAGAAGTTCATGAATGCAAAAATGGAAGGAATTAGGGCTGGGCAAGGAAAGGGTAATCGGGGCAGACAGATCAGTATTTGACCTGAGCCTGTGGGGTGGCTGAGATTTGGGTGGTGCACGGTGGGGTGGAGGTGCTGGGTAGAGGGCATTGCACACTGCAGGAGTAATATAAACAGAAGTACAGAGGCAGGAAAGCGTCCAGCGTGGTCGAAGAACAGTGTATGTTTGGTGTAGCTGGCATATAAGATAGGTGGTAAGACGTAGTGGCTGAAGATGCCGCAGGGGCCAGGTGTTGGAGTCCTCTCGCATACTTACTATCTTCAGTAGGAGAGGAGCTTATGTCGTTAGATCTTTGTTTTAGGAGGACACCTCTCTGGTCACCCCCTGGCAGATGCTTTTGTAAGGGAAAACTGGAAGGTGAGACTGAGCAGTACTTCCAGCAAGAGGTAGCAGTGGAACCCCTGTTTCTGGAGATGTAGGTGTGCAATGGAGGAGGAGAAGACCTTGCAGGGGAGCAGTTTTCAGTAGAGAATGGCAGGTATGGAGTGAATACGAGGTGAGTTTTTATTGACCACGACGTTGCCTGTCCTTTTAAGAAGTATGACAACAAAAGAAAACAAATAGTGAAAAAGAGAAAGTGAGCAGAGCTTGTGGTGGGTTCCTGTTTTGTTTCATTTTTAATTGGAGGTATCGCAATGACCTTAAAAATGTCCATGAATGAGAAGGAAAATGGATATAGCTGGCTCTCTGGTAAAACAGTGTTTGGGAAGCGAGCCTTCTCCACGGAGGGGGTTGCTCACGTTCCTCCTAAGGAGAGGAAAAGAGGGTTCAAGACAGAGATCTTTTGGAGGGTGGGAAAATGTTTAGGAATTCACATTTTGTCACGTGAGGAAAATAAGGCGTCAGGTGGGAGTGCGAGATCCAACATCAGGTGAAGAAAGAATGTTTGGGGCAACAACTAGGTATTAATGAAAGGGTTTTCCAGGCAGCATCCAGGAGCCAACTATGTTTGTGTATTTTCATTTTGTAACGTAGCTTAGAGCAGTTAAACGGCTGTCAAGCATCACACCGTTGGAAGGGACAGAGTGGGTATTTGTTTTTATTGAGATTGAAAAATTGTGAGAGCAAGGTGAGTCCTAGGAAACCCAGCATGTTGATCAGGACACGTTCAGTCGAGGAGTCACGTAGGAGAGTGGAGTGAAGGAGCAGGGAGGAGAGGCAGCCTCGGCCCTCGGCCCTCTGCCCGTGAGGCTGCAGGACTGCGCTGCGCTCTGCCCGCCGCCGCCCTCTGCGCTGCCGCCGCTGCTGCTGCTGCTGCTGCTGGTGTGCGGCTCTTAGCTCAGGAGGCTTTTCTCCATTGTCTGCCGGTCTAACTGCGTCCTGTCAAGGATCCAGTCCAGTGCTGGCCAGTTCTCATGTTCTCTCTTTTTAACCATCTTTAACCTATTAGCACTACGTTTCGTTGACCGTTTAAACAGTTAAGCAGTCGTACAAAGTTGTACCTTAGGAGACAGTAGTATTACTCCGAGACCATGTCTTTGATTGGCCTGTGACGTTAAAGAACCTTCTTTTTGCTTTGCAGTAATATTTTCATAGCTCTTAAACTGAAGTGATAACATGCTGGTGTATTACTCAGATCTTGTCATTAACTAAACATAGTTAGTTAATGGTTTGACTCATGCTTTGAGTCCTGAAAAGGGAAAAGCTAATTTGTAAATTTTTATTTGTTTTACTATATTTTGATTTAGACTTTATGTCTTTTTCCAGGTTATACATGTGTTCTTGCCAGGGGATAAACTGCGCAGCATTTAGTTATCTTTGGGTTGGCAATTCTGTAAGGACCGATTCCCAGCTCCCCTGTCTCCTCTCCCCCAGGTGTCATTAGTTTTGGCGTGGCCTTTGGTGACTGGTATCCAGCCATAGCTCTCAGTCTCAAAGCTCATCTTGCCCTGTTGGGTTCTCTGCACTTTCTCTATTACCTTGACAGTCAACACCTCCTTGAAAGCTCCCTTTCCTGTTTCCTGTTCACTGCCCTGGGCAGTCCTTAATGTCCTAATTGACAGTTCAGCTTGCATAGTAACCTGAATATGACTGAAAGGTTCTTTACTGTTGCAAGCAAAACTTTAGCATCAAACACTAAAATTTCTTGTTATTCTTGGAGCAGTGTCTTTTGTTATTGTTCTGCTCTTTAGTTCAAGATACAGGAAACCAAGATATTATAGAGATTTTTAAAATATCTGTTGTGATACCAGATATCCTGGAGAAAACCTTAGGTGTAGAGTTTTGTGCTTTTGTGTCAACAGCAGAAAATCCTCAGGCCTTTAAAGCATGCAGGCAGGGTTTCTGGCCTTTATTGGTCACCCAGGAGTTCAGTCTTACTGCCTAAAAAAGTCTTTTAATTGTGACTCCTGGGGAAAATATCAGTGTCTGCCTGAACTCCAGGATTAAGGCTGCAATTGTTACTTTTGTCAGGAGACTCTGGCCATTGTGGTTGCCAGGCTGCCGTTGGTGGTGGTGCAGTCTCAGATGTCCTGCCACAGCTGGGGAGGTGCCAGTGAGCCTGATGACCTGCTCTTGGGTGGGGGAGCTTGTAAGGGGAGTCGTGGGCACTGCTTAAAATAGCGATTTAAGAACCAGTTGAATAATCCTTTAGAGGGTTTCAAAGTGGTGTTCCTAATGACCTACTCATTAAAATCCCTGCGTGATTCTAGCAGGCCTCTTTCTGATCTACAAAGCATTCAAACACCAACCCCTATCCCATTTGCAACTGGCCCCTTTTAAGGAAAACAATTGCAATGTAAGACAGTATAAGTTTTTTATTAACTGTTTAGATTTTTTGTTTGGTTTTTGTCCATTTAGTTGTACTGTTTCTTTAGTAGTTAAAACACTACCAAAATAGTATTCAGATAGTGGGTCCTGGTCCTTAGTGATTTTTTCATTAGTGCTTGCTTTACCTTGCACTTGCATTGTGCTGAAAGTTAGCATGAAGTTTTAAAACACACTTGGTGTGCACAACATAGATTTCTTTCTTCCAGGTGTGTATGGTGTCATTTATGTAAGATAGTAAATGTTAAGAATTCACATCAGAATTTTAACCCATTATGATGCCAGAAAAAAGAGTGTAAGAAACATGAGACAAAGAGGTATCCACTGAGCAGAGGTGTCTCCATGTGACACTACAGTGCTGACAGGGTGGGGGAGATGCTGCGGGAAGTGACGTGAAAACAGGTGGGGTGAAAAATGGAGGGGTCAGAACAGCACGAGGGGGGCACAGCTGGGCAGAGGCAGCCAGGCAGAGGCCGTGCAGGTTCTCGGCCTTCTTACGTACTCCCTCAGCTTCAGTAGACGTTCGGGGAGCTCCGAGTTTGTATTGTAAAGAAGCTACAGACTCAAATTACTCAATGATTATAGCTTATGTGCTCAGCATAAAAATGTATTTAGAAAACAACTAGACATATCACGTATAATTCCATTTATGTGAAATGCCTGGAATAAATTAGAGACAGAAAGCAAATTGTTAGTTGCCAGGGGTCGGGATGGCATGGTTTTCTTTTGGAGTATTAAAATATTTTGGCTATAACAGTTAATAATACTGTATTAATATAATGTTAATGTAAGTGGTGGTTGCACAACATCATGAATGTACCAAATGTCGCTAAATCGTAAAGTACAATTTAATTTTGTTATGTGAATTTCACCTCTGTAAGGAAAGAAACAACTGTGTGGGGGTGATCTTTTAATTTTTTTTTTTTTTTAAAGATGACCGGTAAGGGGCTCTTAACCTTGACTTGGTGCTGTCAGTACCACACTCTCCCAAGTGAGCCACGGGCCAGCCCTTTTTACATATTTTCTTAATGAAGCAGAGCCAAGCCTCTAATTTAACAGAGTAGCAATCATTCTTCTGCTGCATTGTTACCAGATATTTTAAATTGCTTATCGATTTTTCAACACTTCACCCTTGAATTCCACATGTTCTAGAACCTTTTGATACTTGAACATATTTTAATTCTAGACTTTTAACAGGGATCACAAAGTGGAGGGAGTAAAAAGTTAATAAAAATTAGATTACTTTAGAACATGTAATACTAGTTGGTCTCTCCACTTTATTTGGGAAGGGGTAGTTCTGAGTCCACACAAATTTACATGTTCTTATAGGAAATTCAGAGATTAAATGTAGAAAGCTCTAGAAGACATGGTAATCCCACAATTCAGGAATCATTACTATTTACACTTCTGCGTATTTGCTTCGTGCCCTTTCTCTATTCACGTATTACAAAACTGGGATCACATTGAACGTTAGTTTGTGACCTTTGTGGTTTATCTATTCATGTTCCATTTGGTTTGTGGGAGAGCTATTAATTGATTTATAAGATGTGTTTACATATTAACAATAACAAATTGTCATACTTGTTGCCAAGAGAATTATAGTCTTAAGATTTATATAATTGACTTTTCCTTTTACCCTCTTCCATTGACTTAACACATGAAATACCCCTAAAGTGTGTTTACTAGCTTATTATGTCTTTAGTGATTGGCTGAAAGGGCAGCCTCACCTGCCCAGCAGAAGGCAGGAACACTCCTGGGGACCCAGGCAGGAGACACAGGGAGTCCCCAACCCAACAGAGGGCTTGAGCACACCACAAACACCACTTTCACACAGTGGTCCACCACAGCCACCGTACAGGTGGCCCGCTGCCCACTCTACCACAGTGACACAAGGAGAGTTGCAGCGGAGCCAAAAAAAGAGGAGGAAGTCTCTCTCCTCAGAGCCCACTGCAGAGTAACAGAAGCAGCAACGGGCCCACCACATGAGGAGAGACATCAATGCAGAGATACCAGCAATACAAAAAAAAAAAAATAAGAAAATATGACACCACCAAAGCAATACAAAAACTTCTCAAGTACCAGACCCCATAGAGCAAGAAACCCTTGAAAAGACTGAAAAGGAATTCTGAGCAACAATCTTAAGGAAACTCAGTGAAATACAAGAAGACTCAGACAACGACAAAACAAGAAAAAATATCCAGGATATCAAGGAGGAAATTTACAAGAGATTAATTAATAACCTTTAAAAAGAACGTAGCAGAACTCCTGGAACTGAAGGATTTATTCAGTGAAATAAAAAATGCAGCCAAGAGCTAAACAGCGGGTTACAGCAAGCAAAAGAAAATTTCCGATCTAGAAGACAGTCTTTTCAAAATAACCCAGGCACCCAAAAAAGGAAAAATCAATCCAAAAAAAATTGAAGAAAATCTAAGAGAGCTAGCAGAAAACCTTAAGCATCACATACATCAGAATCTTGGGTGTTCCAGAAGGGGAGGAGAAAGGAAAAGGCATTGAAAACCTAGTCAACAGAATAGTAATAGAAAACTTCCCAGGTGTAAGGAGAGATATGGACCCTCAGATTCAGGAAGCTCAAAGATCCCCAAACAGATTTGATCCAAAAAGATCTTCTCCAGGACACGTTATAGTCAAACTGGCAAAGCTCAAAGACAATTAGAGAATCCTAAAAGCAGCAAGAGAAAAGCATCAAGTCACCTATAAGAGAGCCCACGTCAGACTAACAGTGGATCTCTCGACAGAAACTCTACAGGCTGGAAGAAAATGGGATGATATACTCAAAATACTAAAAGAAGAAAACTGCCAGCAAAGAACACTATACGCAAGTAAGGCTCTCCTTCAGAAATGAAGGAGAAATAGGGTATTTCCCAGACAGACAAAAGCTGCGGGAGTTCACCACCACACGACCAGTCCTGCATCTGGAGTCTGAACAGTGATCTGGAATCACTACCACAAATGCACAAGAAAGAACAAAACCCACTGGCAGAACAAAAATGCAAATGAGAAAGAGAAAGAAATGCAAATTCTTGAAATGTTCCATATTAAAATCATAGAATTTGAATGGTAAAAAGGACGTTGAGAGGCATACTAACAAGGCAAGACCACTTCCAAATTCTGAGTCAAATGAGACTCTAAACTGGTTTTAAGAACCATAAATAAATAATATAAAATGTTAACCAAAAGCAGTTTCAGTGTTTAATAGTAGCTTGTATAAGGGGCAATCTGCATTTGTTTTTCCCTCCCACGTCAAGACCACTTGTACAACTTCTACATTATAAAACTTTGGAAAATTTATCAGATACCGTGATTCTTAGGTCTTCTACCTGCTCCAAAGTTCTGTTTAAAAAACTTCATCCAGGGCTGGTCCGTGGCGCACTCGGGAGAGTGCGGTGCTAACACCAAGGCCATGGATTCGGATCCCTATATAGGGATGGCCGGTTTGCTCACTAGGGAGAGTGTGGGGCTGACAACACCAGGTCAAGGGTTAAGATCCCCTTACCGGTCATCTTTTAAAAAAAAAAAAAAGAAAAGAAAGAAAGAAAGAAAACTTTACCTTTCTTGTAAGGTTTTAACCAAAATGGCATAATTAATATCTTTAATATCTGTGAGGGCAAAGTGAATTCTCCCTGTGTTGACACCAGCTTCATTTTTCTGCCTCTGCAAATTATATATGTTCTCTATTGCAAGTGACAGTTATTACTTCTTCAATAACAATTTTTTAAAAAAAGAAAAGGTTCCTAACAGCTTTCATGTTAACACAGATGTTGAGGGAAGAAATTGAAAATGAATGGCACAGGGCCGAATGGCTCAGAACTAGCTTTATTGGAAAACATGCATTGTAAAACTTTTGTAAATTATGATGGTCCTGTTTTCCTTTTTTCTTTCTCTTTTTTTAAAAATTTTAATATAGTTGATTGTACATATCTGTGTGGTACAAGTTGAATGTCAATACCTGTGTGTACCTTTTATTAGATTCCTTAGGCAATCATATTCTCAGTGACTACCAGAAATCTTTAAAGTTGTTTGGGTTGAAAAACAAAGGAAAATGCTAGCCAATCTTTCAGTGATTTTCATAAATTTTTTTTTTTTTTTCCTTTTTGTCTTTTTTACTGACCAGTAACGGGATCGCAACCCCCGGTGTCATGCCCGTACCGGGGACCGGCAACGGGATCGCAACCCTCGGTGTTGCGCCCGCACCACGCTCAGCCAGTGAGCGGGAACCGGTCTCCACATGGGGTCCGAACCCTCGGCGGGAGTGCCACTGCGCTCCCAAGCGGCGCACTCTCCAGTGCGCCACCGGGCCGGCCCTTCATAAATTTCTAGATAGTCTCCTTCATCTCTTTTTTGTATCTTGAGGCATGTTTTGTATCTTAATAGCTTTTCCCACCAAACTTCCAGTTTAAAAGTTGACTTTCAGATTTCTTGTGCATTGTTGAAATTGAGAATCTGTTTCATTTTTAGTATTCTTAGATGAAGGTACTTTTTAAAATTTCACTTTCATCGAATGTTAAATCTAAAGGAAGGGTGTCTTTGAACTTCATGATTTCTCTTCTCCTGTTCAGCATATTATCCATAAGATTCTCTCCTAAAGACTACAAATTATGTAAATCATTGGCCCCAAACTTTTGCCCTGCCCCAAGCTATAATATTAGCTATCTAATACTATTTACTGAATATATTGAATTGAGTAAACAGTCTCAACTCTGTGAAGAAGCGGTTCTGCATTGTGTGTACTGACTCGATGTGCTCATTTGCTCCTCACAGGAGACTCCTATGCTTACCAGAGTTGAAAAACAGAAGCGCAAGGAGGAGGAGGAAGAACGTCAGATTCTTCTAGCAGTGCAGAAGAAGGAGCAGGAGCAGATGCTGAAGGAGGAGAGGAAACGGGAGCTGGAAGAAAAGGTCAAGGCAGTGGAAGGTACGTGAGCTCTGCGTGGCCTGGAGAGGTGCATGTGGTACTTATTGCAGCCAACGTAGAGTTTCGGCTTGGGGTGATGGAAAGTTCTGGAAGTGGACGATGGTGATGGTTGCACAACATTGTGAACATACGTCACATCACTGAATAGTACATTTATGTATTTTTTACCAAAATAAAAACCCCACACCCCAAAAATGGAAAGGACAGAATAAATGTACAACTGTTTGTTAGTATTTGTTATAAGCCTGGATTATGACATGAGTGTTCATGCCGAGTCAGAAGTCAGTGTGGAAGCAGACATTGAGATTCCGTCAGTATGGTTGATAAGTCACTTAAAAATTCTGCTTGTCTCAAATGATAGAAATTCTGTTTGTAATATATTATCTATATTTGTATATGTATATATTATCTAGAATTTGCCAGAAGACGTTTTACTTATCTAATATTGTTTAAATGTTCTCTTTGAGAGCTTAGCTGAACTCTAGTCCAAGCAAGGAAAATCATCAGGAGCCAGAAAGCGGGTGTTGAGGACTGAAAACAGCAATAAGTTAGGGAGCAATGAGGTTGGACTGCAGATGCACAGTAATCAGTCTCAGGAATGCTTCCTGTACCCCAGGAAAGCTAACCACAGACAAATTGCTGCTAAAGATGCATAGACAATTGGAATTTCAGAGAACTCAAGGAAGAGGCCATCATGGTGTATACCTTAAATATCTACAGTACAATTTATTTTTTACTGTGAGCAACAGTTGGTAGGTGCAGCAAATATGTACACACACACACACACACACACACACAACACACACACATACATATTTAGCACTATCAGATATGAAAAAGAAAGAATAAGGACATAAGAGAAAAAATAACCAATTCAAAGGAAACTAATAGAAATTCTAAAAAAAACTATGGTCATTGTAACAATAACTGGATTAAACAGCTTAAGTGCACATGACGAGAATCACCCAACTGGAAGGCAGGTGTGGGTTGCCGAGTGGAATGCAGCACTGAGACGAAGACGGAGGCACGATGAAAGAAGTTACCTACTGCGTTAGTCAGGGCCCAGGCATGAAAACCAAAACACTAATATTTCAACAGAGAATTTCATATGGGTCTTTGGTTAAATGGGAGTTAGACAAATAAAAAGGGTAAAAGGGACCTCTGAGGCAGCACAGAAGTAGCACTCCTAGAGCAAGGGGAGCAAATCAGAACCTCCAAGTTCAAGAGAGGCTCTGCAGAGTCAGACCTCAGACGTGTGGAGAAGAGTGCTGCTGGCTGGCCTGGCCTGGTTCTGAGACGGCCAGGACCTACCGTTGAGAACCGTAATATTTTCTTAATTTGACAAAAAACACGAATTCTCAAGCATAGAAAGCGAAAAGAGATGTAAACTGGATATAAGTTACCTGTAGACACACGATACTGAATTATGGAACATATGGCCCACAGGTGTTTAGAACAACCAATTTGGAAAAGACACATTTCCTATAGAGGGTATTCTATTAATGGGAATAGCAGACTTCTTAGGAGTAAGAATAGAATTCAGAAGAAAATGGGATTGAATTTTGTATTGGTTTCCTAGGACTACCATAACAAATCATAATCTAGGTGGCTTTAAATAACAGGAATTTATCCTCTCACAGTTCTGGAGGCTAAAAACCTAAAATCTAAATGTTGACAGGCTCTCACTTTCTTTGAAGGGTCCAACGGAGAGTCCTTCCTTGTCTCTTACAGCTTCTCATGGCTCCTGGCACCCTTGGGTTATGGCAGTCTGCAAATTTAGAATAGAAGGGAACTTCTTTCACCAGTATCTGTTAAAAGTCTATGCAGACATTCTCCTTACTGGGGAAATATTAGAAGTGTTCCATTAAAGTCAGGAAAAATAAACATTTCCTCTACCATTGCTTCTATTTTCTATCGTATTGTTTAAATTTTACATATGACAAAGACACCATGAACAAAGAAAAGACAACACAGAGAGGAAGAAGATAATTTCAACACTTAATCAACAAAGACTTATTGTCTAAATTATTTGTTGCACTTCTCCAAATTAATAGGAACTCTGACAGTCCACAGAAATAAAAACGAAGTATATATGCAAGATGTTTACAGAAACAAACACTAAATGTCCAGTAAACATGAAAATATGTTTAATATCACTCCAATCAGGAAATTGCAAAAATGAAAACATCAAAATTCCGTGTTATGCCCATCAGTTTTGCAAAAAGCAAAAGTTTTATCACACTGAGTGCATGAACTGAAATTGCTATTTCAAGAGTAGACACACTTTGAAAAATGCCCGATGACATCAAGGGACAGGTGTTCATACTCTTCCCTGCTCCGTGTGTCATAAAGAGCACTTACACACATGCTTGAGAAGACACGCTTTAAGAATGGTCAGTGTTGTATTCACAAAATTAAAATATTGTGATCAGTTAGATACATTATTAAGCTGTGGTATAATCATACAATGAAATACTGTATTAACATTAATGAGGCAGTTTTGGCAGTTTCAAGTTTGAAATCATTTTTTTTCCAGAAAAAAAAAATATTAAAAGTCAGTGATGACAAAGTGCCTTTGATTAATTACAGCAGATGTAGATTACTGTAAGTTTGTAAGTGAAAATAACTGAGAAACAAAAACATAAAGGGAATGGAACTCGATGGGAGAACACTTGGCAGGATCATGTCACGTTCACAGGCGTAAGTGGAGCCTAACTCTTGGGGAACAGAAATGAGGACTGGGAGAGAAAACACAGGACCCGTCCTCCCTCCACTTCTGTGTCTTGCTGTCTGAGGGTGGTGGTGTTCACCTCCTCACCCCTCTTCTTCATTCCTGACCTTTTTGTTCCCAGCTAGTGACAAAGTGCCCATCAGGCTGACAGTGGAATGCCAGGTGTGTTTCTCATGCCATGGGTGTGAGCCAGGAGAAAATCATCCCTGCCCTCCAGCTCCTTGCCAGTTCCAGCTGGCATCTTTGCCTTGTCCCAGCCGAACTTACCACTGCCACTGGCAGTGCAGGGGTGGGTGCAGAACAGACATTTGGTGTGCACGGTGACTTTGCCAATGCAAAACCTGCAGAGCTGGGCTGCGCATACAAAATCTTGCGTGTGCTTGGACTGAGAGTCCGCTCCTCAAAGAGGGACGTTGCTCTTCTGAGAAAAGATAGGAAGGGCCCCAGGTAGTCAAAGGAGGATAAACTTCGTTCAGCCTTCTACTTTTTCCTTTTTCTTCTGATTCCGTTTTTGTGCCTTGCTCTCTCTACTGCTGCCCACCCTGTGCCTGCCCTACCACCTTCCCCCACCTTGAGCTCAACATGAGTGAGGCGGGAGGTGCTGCTACTTGTTTCTTGTAGATAGAAACATCCTAATCAACAAAAAGAGGGTGGCCAAGGGAAAAAGAATCGTTTTGTGATACTGCTTTGGTGATTTTTGTTTCTTCCTTCTCTCACGGCCATTAACAAACATCTCATTGTCAAGCGTACTTCACTCACTGGCGCTGCGATGCTTTGTGTTCACTGCAGATCGAGCTAAGAGGAGAAAGCTCAGGGAAGAGAGGGCGTGGCTGCTGGCTCAAGGGAAGGAGCTCCCCCCAGAACTTTCCCACCTGGACCCCAATTCTCCCATGAGAGAAGAAAAAAAATCTAAGGACCTGTGAGTGTTTAATAACAATAGTTAGAACTGGTAGCACTTACTACTGAGGCGCTGTGCTCAGCGCTCTTCTCATTTAATCTTTACAACAAACACACGTGGTGAGCATAGCCGCATCGGGGTTGAGAAAACCTAGTAAGTGGCGGGGCAGGCCGGGAGCCACCGCTCGGCCGGAGTCTGCAGCACGGACACGCGGAGGGTGTCGTCTTCCCTTCCCTCTCACGTCCTTACCGTCGCACCCCACAGAAGCACAGGTGGTGTTTTACACAAACCTCCTCTTCTTCCAGCTCTTCCATTAAATGAAGTCAGAATCGATTATCATGTAAAATTCTTTCTTGGAAGTGTGAAGAGTGAAATAATCAAGGTTGTGCCGTTAAATAGCTAACATTATAGAATAAATATATAAATCGTATTTATATAGTTATGTAAACTTTACCTATAAAGTTTATAAATTTCTGGGTCCTCTAGGCCAACCCCATCATTTTATAGATGTGGAAAATGATGTTCCATTTTTTGCTAGGACATACCATCCTTCATTTTCATATTATTTTTAGTACATGTTATCTAAACAAAATTATCAGGGCTATTCCAGATCTTGGTGCCATCAGCTAATGTGTCTGATTGAACTATGAGAGCTAAAGAGAGAAGGTGGTCAGTTATTATTAATGTCTTATTTTATGATTTACAGCTTTGAGTTGGACGATGATTTCACTGCCATGTATAAAGGTTAGTTTGCATTTTCCACTATTGTATTTCTTCTTTTTTTTTCTCTGGTTTTTTGTGGCTGCCTGTATGGGGATCTGCACCCTTGACCGTGGTTGTGTGATACCTCACTCTAACCACTGAGCTAACCGGCCAGCCGCTCGCTGTTGCGCTTCTTATAGGAGGGTTCCTACGTGAGTGTGTTAATTAGATTCTCTTCTTTGGCTCTCAGTTCTAGATGTGGTAAAGGCTCACAAGGATTCCTGGCCCTTTTTGGAACCTGTGGATGAATCTTATGCCCCTAACTATTATCAGATTATTAAGGTAGAGGCTATCTTTGCAATTATACTTACTACTGTGTATGTCTTTCTTTGGTTTTGTTGTGTTTTTGTGTGTTTTTGTATGTCTCTCGTTCCTGCAGAGTCAGGGTTGCTGGATATGAACCTGGCTCTTGCGCCACTCATAATGTCAGGATTCCTTTACCTCATGGGGACTACGACATGGTTTTTTTTTTTTTGCCAGCATATTTTGAATAAAGAGTTATATATTCTTTTTTAGGTCCCCATGGATATTTCAAGCATGGAGAAGAAACTGAATGGAGGTTTATACTGTACCAAGGAGGAATTTGTAAATGACATGAAGACTATGTTTAGGAATTGTCGAAAATATAATGGGGAAAGTAGCGGTAAGTGAGGAAATAGTTTGTGTTAGACCCATATCTTCTGCTGCATTCTGATCATGATGGAAATGCCTTCTCTCTCAGAAGTACACGTCCTAGTGATTCAAACTTTTCTTTAGAACTATAAAGAGAATGTTCATTAAAAGCCGTGGAATTGGGTCTTCCAGCCACTTACACAATATGTGCGGGAGCTCTCGTTTCCCACAGGACGAGAGAGTGTGGTTGGTTGGTGGCTAACTGGGTGCAGCTTATCTCTCATCCTAGAGACCAGTCTGGGTCTAGATTGTCCTATGCGTGTTTAACAGAGACAGGTAACCACTGACAGGAGTGAACCTAGACAGAGCTGATTCTTTAATCATTTTGAGAAATAAGCATAGTAGATTTCTAAAATCAAAGTATAAATGGCTCCAGGTACTGAGACTACAGGTCGTTTATGCATTAACTCAAAATGCATTAGTTTAAAATCTAGGCAGATTCAGTGATCGTATTTAATATTTCTGCAATTTAACCTTGAAGAATTAAATTTTTACTTGTTCGAGGTAATTATTCCCAGAGTCAGTTGCAGCCATACAACTTTAAGTTTCTAATGGACAGAAACCATATCTTCTCCACCTGGTGTCCATAACTCTACAACATAATATGCCCTAAATTGCACCTTTTATTGTTTATTAGCAGGAAAATTGTCTTTTGTGGCCTATAAAACCTATATCTAGAGGTCAATCCTTGTATCTTCCTGTAGAGTATACCAAGATGTCTGATAACTTAGAGAGGTGTTTCCATCGGGCCATGATGAAACATTTTCCTGGTGAAGATGGAGACACAGATGAAGAATTTTGGATCAGAGAGGATGAAAAACGGGAGAAGAGACGGAGTCGGGCCGGGCGAAGTGGCGGAAGTCACGTTTGGACCCGCTCCAGGGACTCCGAAGGGCCCAGCAGGAAACAGCAGCCCGTGGAGAACGGAGGGAAGTCGCTGCCCCCTGCATGCCGAGCGTCCTCTTCCGGGGATGACCAGGGCAGCCATTCTGCACAGCCCCTCTGGGAGGGGGGCACTTCGAATGGCAGAGGCTTCTCCCGTCCCCTGCACTGTGGCGGGATGCCCAGCCAGGTACTCCTTTTAAACCAGATGGGAAAGAGTGGCCTGAGTGCTGTGGTCGCGCTAGCTGTGAATGAAGAGAAGTAAAGGCTGCTCAGCTGACGCCTCCATCAAAATATGTTTTCTGTGTGTGAATGGTTTCTTTTTCCCACATTGGTCCTTCCTTTATTTCAAATCTTTCTCTTAATAATTTGAATTATGTATTCTCAATGTGAGCAAAAATTAGGATAAAAAACGTATTCCTTGTGTATAAATCACAGGTATACATACAGCAGATAAGATTTCCAGTAGATCTGTGGTATTAAAATTTTATGGTAGAGCACAGTTATGGGGAAAAATGGCTGAAAAGGCTGTGTGTGTGTGTTGGGGCAGAGGGTTAATGAAAACAAGATTAAGAAACACTGATTTAATCTTGTCTCTCCTGGAAAGGGAAATTGCTTTGGGCTCAGGGGCTAGTCCTGATCCAGTCGAGCCCCAGTACTTGCGGTCTCCGAGTTGCTGGTGGTCTGTCGTTTTAGCTGTACATTCACCTTCAGGAAACCTTGTTCTCCACTTAATGTCTGTGCCTTTTTCCCCCCTCCTTGCTTTACTCGATGCCCTCCAGAAGCCAGCAGTACCTGGAACATTTGGCCCTCTTCGAGGATCGGATCCTGCCAGCTACTATGGCTCCTCTCGAGTCCCAGAGCCACACCCTGGAGAGCCTGCACAGCATCAGCCTTTTGCCATGCAGGTAAGAGCAGCCTACTCAGAAGGTTGCAGCTGGAAGGGGTCCCAGAGGTAACTTTCAGAAATATGAGGGTGCGGGCCGGCCCGGTGGCGCACTGGATAGTGCGCTGCTTGGGAAGCGCGGCGGCGCTCCCACCCGAGGGTTCGGATCCCACATACAGACCGGTTCCTGCTCACTGGCTGAGCGAGGCGCGGGGGCAACACCGAGGGTTGCGATCCCGTTGCCAGTACCTGGTCTGGTGCGGGGGCAACACTGAGGGTTGCGATCCGTTGCCGGACACAGAAAAAGACAAAAAGACAAAAAAAAAAAAAAAAGAAAGAAATATGAGGGTGCTTCAAAAAGTTCATGGAAAGATTTGTATTATCTTTCAATTCTGTTTACGTGAACTTTTGGAAGTACCTTTGTACAGTCTCTTCCCAGTTAAATTAGTCGTCTCCTGTTCTGAAGACTCTGTTCCTGCAGATTGAGGACGTTGCGATTTCTGCCTTACCCTGTAATCCTGGTCAACCATCTTGTCTTTTCTTGTTGCCAGCCCCCAGTTGGAATTAACCACCACCGAGGCCCCAGACTAGGCCCACCTGAAGAGAAGCAGACACGTGGGGGGCTGCCGCACCTTCCCAGCATGGGGTCACATCCCGGATCCTTGCCGCTGCGGCAGATGAGTGGCCCCAGTCAGGATGGAAACATGTATCCACCAGCTCAATTCCAGCCAGGATTTATTCCTCCCAGGCATAGTGGGGCTCCAGCCCGACCCTCAGACTTTCCCGACAGCTCAGAAATTCCTCCTAGCCACATGTATCAATCCTACAAGTACCTGAATCGAGTACACTCTGCTGTCTGGAATGGGAACCACAGTGCAACAAACACAGGACCCTTGGTGTCAGATGAGAAGCCCCACCTAGGGCTAGGACCCTCTCACCAGCCTCATGCTCTTGGTCACATGATGGGTTCCCGTGTAATGAGACCACCTATCCCCCCAAACCAGTGGACTGAGCAGTCAAGCTTTCTACCTCATGGAGTTCCCTCTCCAGGGTACATGCGAGCGCCCTGTAAGTCTGCTGGACATCGGTTACAGCCACCTCCAGCCCCAGCGCCAAGCTCTCTGTTTGGAGTGCCCTCCCAGGCTCTGCGGGGCGTGCCAGGAGGGGACTCCATGATGGACAGCCCCGAGATGATCGCCATGCAGCAGCTGTCCTCCCGCGTGTGCCGACCAGGTGTGCCTTACCATCCCCGCCAGCCCGCCTCCCCGTGTTTCCCTGGCCCTTTCCCACAGATAGCATCGGTAAGCGTGTTAGTCCCCAAGCCTGCCCCGGGCAACCCCGGGAGAACACAGGATAACAGCATAACTCAAGAGCCTGAGAATGACCGAGGTAATTTATATTGTCACTTTTCTCTGATTTTTGGCTCTCTTTAAACTGTTAATTCATGAATAATCTTTTCACACAGAATATCAAACCAAATGTGAACTGGTTTCTAGCTGCTGCTGCTTGAACTACTCAGGTTTGAGCCAGTCGTAGTACTACTTCTGCTCTGGCAATCCAGAAAATTTCTGATGATGATAATGATTGACACACAGATGGGCACTTAGTGTGCCAGACAATATTTTTGAGGTGTTTATTTACATTAATTCATGTAATCTCAGAACAAGCCTTTGAGATAGCTACTGTTATAATCCTTGTTTTTACAGATGGAAAATCCAAGGCACAGAGGTATTAGGTAATTTGCTCTCGTGCAGCTGAGATTTGATCCGGCACCCCGCCCTTACCACTGCATCATCTGCCTTTAAAAAATTACTGTCTTGAAAGCTGTCTTTATAAGTTCTCACTTTTTTACCTAAAGTCTGATCATTTCTATCCTCCTATTCTTTGGACACATACCTGTACCTGCTGAGAATGAGGAATAGTGAGACCTGGCAAACTTTGAAGAAGTCTTGTTATTCGAGACCACACTCGTGTGTTTTGACTGGGCTTATTAAATGTCTATAATATGTTAAAGATGTCTTTTGAGTTTTACACTGTAGCCGTGTTTTCCAAGACATCCAGACAAGATAAATACATTCACTCAGTCAACAAGTCCTGAGTCCCCATTTTGTGCAGGCACTGAGGGTACAGTCAGAACGGGGGCGGGGGCTCCGTTTCCTGTGGAGCCTGTATTCTGATGTTGCAGAACTCAGGGATCATGCCCTGGTCCTTCTCGTGTCAGTTTTCGGAGCTTCCCAGCCTGGCCCGCAGTTCCAATGACAACATCCTCTCCTGCAGTTTCACATGCATCTACCTGGAGTCCACAAGCCAAGAGTCATCTCTTACCCCCTTACTAATCTGACTGATGACACAGGAAGATGGAGGCGAGGACATTTCCACGCTTTGGCAGACGTAAGAGTAGCTGCAGAGGTGCTAGGTTTTACCTCTAGGTCGTGAAAGGGAGTGTGCAGAGGCCCCAAGATCATGGCCCCTTTCAGTGACCCAGTTTCTAGCTGAGGCTCCGATCGCCACGCACCCACCTCAGCCCTGACTCCTTACATGACTGGCTCATCACGTTCTTTTCATTCCCACCTCCATTAATATTGTTATTTCAGCTGCTGAATTATTATTTTGTTCTCCATTTTTTTGCAGCAGAGCCTTTGCCTGGGCTTGACGAGAACCCAGCAAGTGTTGGTGCTTCAGAGGGGGCATACCTCAAACAACTACCTCACCCTACGCCTCCCCTGCAGGACGACTGCTCCAGGCAGAGCTCACCAAGAGAAAGGGAAACAGAGGGCCCGGAGCGCAAAAGCAACTCCACAGAATCTGCAGACAACTGTAAAGCAACAAAGGGCAAAAATACCTGGTCCTCAGATAGCAGCTACACCAGCCCAGCTACCCAGGGGGGGTGTATGAGAAACCTCTCTGCTGTGGCAGACAGGGGGCCTCTGTCCGAAAATGGAGTCATTGGTGAAGCATCTCCTTGTGGATCAGAGGGAAAAGGCTTTGGTGGCAGTGGTTCTGAAAAGCCACTCTGCCCCAGAGGCAAAGCATTGCAGGAAGCCATGCTGTGTACAGGACAGAATGCAACTACATCTCCCAGCACAGACCCCAGTTTGATGGGAGGCACTGTAAGCCACTTTTCTCCCTTGTACATGCCTGGCCTGGAATACCCAAATTCAGCTACGCATTACCACATCAGTCCAGGCCTGCAAGGTTTGGGCCCTGTGATGGGGGGGAGGTCCTCAGCATCACATCCTCAGCATTTCCCCCCAAGAGGCTTTCCATCCAGCAGTCCTCATTCTGGAGTCTTTCCCCGGTGTCGCCCTCAGCAAGGGATGAGGTATTCCTACCAGCCCTCACCTCCGCCTTCCTACCATCACTACCAGCGACCTCCTTACTATACGTGTCCACAGGGCTTTCCCGAATGGCAGAGACCCCTCCATCCCCAGGGAAGCCCAAGCGAGCCCCCATCTAGTCAGCCCCCCCCACCAAGGTCCCTCTTCTCAGATAAGAATGCCATGGCTAATCTACAGGGCTGTGAGACACTGAATGCTGCCTTAATGTCCCCAGCCCAAATGGATGCAGTGGCCACTAAAGTCCCAGCTGATGGGCAGAATCCCGGTCCAGAGGAGGAGAAGCTGGATGAGTCTATGGAGAGACCAGAGAGTCCCAAAGAATTTTTAGACCTGGACAACCATAATGCAGCCACCAAGCGACAGAGTTCATTGTCGACCAGCGAATACCTTTATGGAAGTCCTCCTCCACCTCTGAGTTCAGGGATGGGTTTTGGATCATCTGCCTTCCCACCCCATGGTGTGGTGCTACACGCGGGGCCTCCTTACACCCCTCAGCAGCCAGCCGGCCACTTCCAGCCCAGGGCTTACTCATCCCCTGGGGCCGTGCCCCCACCTCTCCATCCAGTGGCTGCCCAACCCAATGGCCTCTCTCAGGAGGGCCCCATCTATCGCTGCCAGGAAGAGGGCCTGGGTCACTTTCAGGCTGTCATGATGGAACAAATTGGCACTGGAAGTGGATTAAGGGGGCCTTTCCAGGAAACATATAGACCGTCAGGGTAAGCTTGCCTTAGATCATAAATAATTGTGAGTTTTAAAAAGAAAAATGGCCTTAGGAATGAAGATTAACTTCAGTGGTTTAGGACCAGGAAGAACACATGAATTGCTGATGTCAGGGACTTAGTAGACATGTATTAGTCTCAGAGCCCAATTTTATTTTTGACATTTTTTCCTCTCATGAAAATGAATTGGCATTTAAATAACTGTGGAGTTGGATCTTAATATTGTAAACTTGGTAACCGCAGTTTGAGTGCTGTAGGCAGAGGCTGTCAGTGTTGCTGCTGAGTTCAGACACTCTGTCCAAGGTAAGTTAGGTCTGTCCTGGGGGTAGAGGCGATCATGTGTAATATGGAAGTTCTACTCCATATGTTTGTTTCTTCCTCTGTCGCTGAATGAAAAAAACGAGGCTTATTCAGAATTGGAACAGATCAGATACCATCTCCGTGAGACATCTTTTATAAATAGTTGTATAATGTTGCTTTTAAGACCCAATGGGATGATCCACCACCCAGGAAGTTTTCAAATTAAAGATACGTAAAAGATGTTAGAAGAAGTCCATTTGCGTGACAGTCATGAAACCTGATCATAAGTCAACACCATGCACCCTAACGACCAGCGTGCCCCTGCCGGTACTGTTCTGTCTTCTTACCTCCAAACCCTCTCCCGTTTAACATGTTGCCATATTTGCTCTCTGTGTCTCTGTATCTGTTTGTTTTACTTTGTTTCTTTGTCTTTTTTCCTAAACCACTGGAAAGTTAATTGCAGACACCATGATCTTTAACCCTCAACAGTTGAGCGCAGGTCTCCTGAGAGCGAGGGCGCTGTGCTGCAGACAGCCTCGGAATCGTTACCATCCCAAGAAAGTAGCACTCGCAGTGTTTCATGTGCCGTCCTTATTTCAGTTCCTCCAGATGTCTCCAAAATTTCTTTTAAAGCTATGTTTCTTTGTTTTTGTTTTTTTCTGATCTAGAATTCCATCAAGGCTCACTTATTTGCATATGGCTGCTGTGTCTGTTTAGTCCCTTAATGTACAAAAATTGTCCTTTGATCTCTTTTATTATTTTTCAAAGAGTCCAGGTCAGTTCTCACATAGAGTATCCCAGATTCTGAAGTCATCTCATTATTTCCTCGTGTTTAAATTAAACACCATGTCGGGAATGTACATGGGTGGTGTCACATGAGCTGCACCACACGCAGAGGCACGTAACGTCAGTCTGTCCCAGTAATGATGGGTCCAGGTTTCATCACTTGGATAATTAAGGCATTGTTTTCCTGATTAAAGTATCTTTTTTTCCTTTGTAACTAATATGTCTTTATTAATTCTCAACCATTCCTCCATGGCTGTAGAATGCAAATGCATCCAGTCCCGGTGCAGTCCTTGTTCCCAAAGACGCCGGCACCAGCATCACCGCAGGGAGAGCTGCCACCACGTAAGCCCCCAGCACTTCCTCTGGATCAGGTAGGAATTATCAAAAATTAGAACTTTTCTTATTAATGCAGATGATAGGTGATAACTAACTGACCTCATTGCTGTTCTGAAAAAATATTTTAAGGCGTCCTGTTAACACAGGAGCGTTTCCGGAGAAGTGCCTTGTGCACTGCAGGCAGCCAGGTGAGAGCGGAGGCCGCAGCAGTAGCTTCTCTGCTGTTTCCACGCGCCCCTTTTCCTGTTCCTGTGTGATAGATAAGCAGCTGTCTGGGAGTATTTAAACTCATTTTTCTGAACTGGCTACTGACATTTCCTTTGCCATGATCGCTTGTCTGTTTCATTCTTGCCACCTATTTTATCTGAGAAAGAGACTAGTCAGGTGTCAGAATACAACGTCTGAGTGCTACATCTCTGCCAGGCACTGTACAGTCACATTTAATCCTTTCCTGCAGTTGTCGCCAGCAGCAGCAGCATTATCATTTCCTGGTTTGCGAGAAGTCCTACAGCTACTAAGCAGTGGGGCTGGGTCTGAATCAGGAGGTCCAGGGCTTTAGAGCCTGCCTGCCCTCTGGAAGTAAACTGTGGCTCATGGGACAAAATCAGGCCATTTTCTCAGATACAGAGAAGCATGTACAGCTCTTTGGCTTACTTTTTTTTGACAATTTTCAGTTTTTAATTTTGTTAAAAATGTCTTTGTTTTGTTTGTTTCTGTCAGAGCTAGTCCAAGGAAGAAATAACTCCCAAGGAAATGGAAAGCTGCACATGAAGACTGGAACATGGAGAATTTGGGGGCGTGACCCTTGCTTTCTCTATTCCTGTCACCCTGCTCCATCCCTCACAGTGCATCACTTCTGTTCAGGAGCTGGAGCACTCCCTGGAAGCACCTCTACTCCTTAGACGACTGGCACACACTCGCAGATGTCCTGGGTCGGGGATCCCTTGCGTAACCGATGTAGATGGTCAAGAAGAACAAATGAACCTGGAGTTCACGATGACCTTTCCAAATCCTGAGACTCTTGTTCAGGGAAAATCACTTTAAACTTGGGGCAGGGGACATACTTAAAAATGGAGTGGTGCTTTTAAAGTTTCATGAGCAGCTAAACTCAGGTATATATTTGGGGAAAGGACTACTTGTAGTATTAATGTTTTGGGATCTGGGTCCAGTTTACAGAATTTTCATGTTGCCTTTTAAAATAATTTTTGTTGGTGGTGAATGTATTGTACATAAAGTGGGTCGGGTGGGTGGGGGTGTGGAAGAAACGGGAACCTAACTGTGGTGGGCACACAGCACTGGAGCGGTCTTTATCTGTTTACAATCACGTCACACTGAATACTTTTGGGAGCTGGAGAAGAGGGTAAGAAAGGTTTAAAATTGTCATAATGTCACTAACTGTGTTCCCTAGTGACCAGCCAGCCTTCACTAGCAAAAGGCCTTTCTTTTTAATCAGCTTGAGAGAGTACAGTTACACCTGTCCCTCTAGCTGTTTTGTTTCTTAGTTCAGAGGCAGAGCGCTCTCTGGTGGCCCCAGTAATGGATTTGAGAAAGCAGTGTCCCTTCCTGCTTTTGCCACCAGCCCTACAAGATAGTTGTAAACCAGTATCAGGAATTGGATCACTAGAGTGTTTCACTTATTAGATGATGAAATTAATTGTCCTCTTCACAGGCCTGTCAGGACTGTGATCTAGAAGGCATAACACAGAGCTTTCTGGCACGAATCACATTTTGTGGAAGTGACTACTCAGGTTTGTATGTGTTAGTATCAATAAAGAAATTGCACAGGTTGGAATAGGAAAAATGTATTCTATAGATTTACAGTTTGAATTTAGGAATATTTCATTCTATATAGTTTTACTCATTTTAAGTGAATCTTAGTAAAATCAGTTATGGTGATTTAAAATAGCAAGAACAAGTTCTTCGAAATCATTTGTTGTATCTGTAATAGAAAACAATTTTCCAGTATTAAATTACTTTATTACAGTTCTAGAAGTGAATTACACTGGATTCTCCCTGTTTAGCATTCTGTATTTGACTTTAGCTGAGATGTCACCAAAGTTAGGACCCATGTTTTAAACTTTTGAATATCCCACAAAGAAAAAAAAATTACAGAAAATGTCCTGAAATTACAGGTCTTTGTAAAGAATAGCATATTTTTAAGCATGCTTTTGGGATAGTAGAAAAGCCTTCATATAAGATTATTCTGCCCTCGTTTCTTATAAATTCAACTGTGAGAGGGGCTAGTAGAACCATTACCTCCAATTCCAGCATCTTTAATGAAACGAGGAACTGTCACGTTTATGGTTTGCTAAACATATATCAGTGGGAAGGAAACAAATTGGAAATATCCACTTTATAGAGATGGAGCCCCAGACATCAGCTCTAGGTTAATGAAATTCACACCTGTGAGCAGATACTTATTAACCTGGTGCTGTTGCTTGGGGTTTGGGCAGAGTTGAGAATTGGGTAGGAAGCACAGATGCCTCTGAGGTATGATACACAAAAATATAAATTTTTCTCTAACAGAGAATTTAATTTTAAATTTGATGTATTTGTAAGTGGATTGAGTTTTGAGGCTGTGTTCTCATTTGATCCTAATTCTTCTTAGAAATCTACCAGTGGCATAATCTGGTTTAGAGGAGTGACGAGGTCACGAGATTTGTGGATAGGTCTCTGAGTGTGCCCTCAAGCTAGCATAAGGTAGCACAATCAGAGCATTACTATTTCAGTTTCTGTGTTTGTGCAAAAGCAAGGAGAAGGAAAAAACCAGCTAGTTTGGGATCGGCTAGACCTGGTCTCAGCCCAGAGCATTCGGTTACTGACAAGTCTTTCTCCTTTCACACTGAAGCTGGTTTGAATGAGAGGCCTGTAGCTTCTCCTTAAATAGGATTGCAGCAACCATCGGGCCTCCTCCCCGGGCGCTGAAACTGCAGTGGTAGCTTTGTGCTGCGGAACCGGGATCGTGGCAAGGTGGGCTGCAAGTGGTAGCTGGGCTGTCTGTGCGCTCACCTGTGCCCTTGTGGCACTGGAGCAGCTGTGTGCACGCTGCTCGAGGTAACTCTCCACACTCTCCCAGCCCCCACCCCCAATTACCTGTTGCTAGAGAGAGGCTGTGAAAAAACAGTTTAGGAAAAAAATCTGTAAATTCCTTCATCCTTAATCTCCTTTCTTGGTTTGTAGACAGATGAGAAAATATTGAGGAGCAATAGGAAATTACTACTGTATTAAATCATGACACTGAACAAGAGCAACAGCAAAACTGTCAGCTTCATGCATCCTATGTGGGAATTTGGTTGTGCGTGACAGGTGCTAGTGCTTCCTGTCCAGCATGTCCCGAGCTCTTTCAGGTCTTTGAAGTGCAGATCTGCTCTAAGTTGTCAGGAGCTGCAAGACTGCAGGACACACAAGACTGAGCTGCTGTGACCCCTAATCCACTCACCCCCGAGCAGGGTCTCTTTCCTCACCTTTCTTCTCCTCTAGCACTTCTCTTTCCAAGTGTCTTAAGCAGATTTGATGTCTTAAAGCAGATGTACGTGCATCTGCCATCTTCTTCATTAGAGAAATGGTGGTTATGTGATATGATTAGAAAGTAGTGTGTAAGGGCGTCCTAAGAAGTTTTGCTCTCAGGCTAGGACATTTCACCCTGTAGGTCCCTGTCACCTTGTCAGTGGCTGGCTCTCAGTGGTCCCCAGAAGTGGGTAGCTGAGATCCATGCATAATTGGAAATACTATCACACCTATTTAATATTCATGGCTAACCTTTATTAGAGTTGTTAATAAGTTACAAACTGCTTCCCCAAGGCCCAAGAGAAATGAGAGATCCAGAAAGAACAGTAGAGCCTTTTGGAAGGTTTCTCTCCCCACCCCCACCCCCAGTCCATTTGTTTAAAAAGTTGCAGGAGGCTGGCCGGTTAGCTCACTTGGTTAGAGCTGGTGTTGTAACATCAAGGTCAAGGGTTCAGATCCCCTTACCAGCCAGCCACAAAATAAGTAAAAAGTAGCAGGAGCCATTGGCTAAAATTTGTTAATGGTGGGTGAATGTGGAAAATAAAGACAAAATATGCAGGATTCTTACTTATAACTTTCCATCCCACCTCTTAAAAGTAAAGCTGCCCCATCTCTCCATTATCAGGTTTCTTTCATTCTTCTGGCAGAGCATGGGAGCTTGTTAGTAACAATTTATCTTCACTGAGCCTAGGTTGGACTGCTCTCAAAAAGCAGTCTTTTTCCTGCTCTTTATTTTTATGTTTATTGGAAACCTTAAGACCTATAGTTTGTGCCCCTCAGTTCCATCAAACTTCAGCATTAAATGTCAGTTTTCTCTAGACTCCCCTTGTAGTGCATCTCGTCGTGAAACCATGTGGTGTCATTACCCCCTGGCATCTATCTGCTGTGTTACGGTTGTTTATGCTAATTCCTACAGGCATCAGAGGGTCTGCTAAATGCTGTCCCAAACACTAAGTCCCAGCGTTGCAGTCACCACAGCTGCCAGGGACAAGCTTTCCATCTGTACCACTTGGTTTGACATTTTTTCTCCTTTTTTGTTAATGGAAGTTCAGATCTATAAATAATATACTGCTATTAAAACCTACGTTGAAAATTCACAAGAAGGCTTAATCTTGGCAGTCCCGGGGCAAGGACAGTTCTGTAGTGTCAGAATCCTGACGTGCGTCCAGAGGAAAGGCTTAGGTCTCGCTAGCACCATCGACCCTTTGTCTCTGTCAGTCAGTGCACACACCCCCTTACCCCCCCAGCCAGATTCTTCACAGACCCCATTGTGGAAATCGGTTTTATATGGTAGTGAGTCATGCACAGTTCAACCCTGGGGGTTCTGGGATGCAGTGTCTCAGCAGATGGCTCCCAGGATGGCAGACTCAGTGAGGACACTAGGAGCTTTGCGCACGCAGAGGCTTGTATTTCTGGGCTCACGTCACTGTCTGGAACTAAGAGGGTGACTGAGACCTGCTGCATGAGAAGAAACGGGGCTCCCTTTTCCTTTCTCAGTGGGTTGGACTCTACCATGCCACCTTTGGACACCACGCTCTGTTGTGCTGCCCTTTGGGAAAGCAGAATTGGGGTGGACATTGCCGCACCCACCTCTCAGATGAAGCTGTGACACCAGCTTGGTCTCCAGGCTGGGTGGTGGTCCCTCTCTGTGCCAGACACATATACAGGGACTGTCTCCAGGCTTCGGCTAGACTTCTTACCTAGTTTCTTTCTCTCACTCTGCACTAGAGATTTACTCGTAAGTGGAAATGCCTCATAAGCAGCCGATCGTCCTGCACGTGTTTTTAGCAGACGCAGGTGGGTGGGAACCAGGGGCATGGGTGTTGCGTAAGTTATTGAAAGGCTGACCCGTACAACAGTCTGTGTGGCTCCTCCTCCCTCGCTGGGGCTCAGATACCTCACTCTCCCGCTTCACGTACAGCTCCTGGAGCCCAGGTCAGCCCCCACCAGCCTGCGGCACAGTGTCAGGGAGTCCTTGCTCCTGCTAAAAAGTGAAAGCCGTGTGAACTTTCCTGGCCAGTACTGGAAAGGGGAATGCTATTTATTTTTATATTGTGTATATTTTGTCGTGGTCTGCTGATTCCCTGTTTCACTGAGAGCGACACTTACCTCAACAGTTAGTTTGATATTGTGTGTTGGATAATTTTTTAAAAGAACTTTTTTAAAAGCTTTTGATCCTCGGAGGTCTGTAGATTTATTTCCATATGAACTGGTTATTTTGTATAAAGTGCATTCTTAAAATAGCAAGGCTCTGAGGCTGAGTGTGTGTGTCCTTGTGTCACTTCCATCAAACTCAGATGCTCATCCAGACAGGGGCTTGAGCTAGGGCGCAGTGCCATCACCTACAAAGTTCCATGCCCCGTCACAATTCTGATTCGTGAGGAATCCATGAAGGTGCAGGTGATCGCGTTGCAGGCCTGTAGAGAACGTGAACACGACAAAAGCCGACTGGCAACTCTAAACATTAGGGATAAAACACTCTTCCCAGCTAGTCCAGTCAACGTGCACCTCGTGTGTCCTCCCTGGCCCTTGGTACATCACGGGTAAAGGCACCTGCTTTCAGAGTGTTGTTTCTACACCTCTGGTACACCAGTGGTGATCTCCTTCCAGAATCAAGGGCACCCTGGGGGCAGGGAGAGGGAACAGCCTGGAGTCATCTGTGAATTACAGGTGGCCAGACGCGGAACCACAGGCCGAAGCAAGCAGGTGCTTTTACACCTGCCCATGTTATTTCATATTTTATTTCCAGTTCCTGGGAGGCTTTTGGTGGAGGGTGGGCGGAGGGAATAGACAGAAAGTAACCACATTTTTATCAGCTACAGACACCAAAACTCTTTGGCTGTTTTATCCCTGAGTGATTGGACTTGCGAGTAAGTATCCTTATTCCATAAAAAATCCACCACAAATAGCACGTTTCCAAATCTGTCCGCCCATGTTTATCACTTTCTAGGGCAGTGACAGCTCTTTCTCCCTTTTGGTCTCAAACATTTGGTGTCATGTTATCCCTGTTGGACTTGTCCATTTTTGACACTTCATCCTGCTGCTGTTGTAAAATTGTGCTCACAGTTCCCGTCATTCTCCCATAAAAAAGCATTTCTCCTATAAAATATTTCATGTAAATCACATTTTCTAATTTAGTACTTACATTGCCATATAATTTCTGAAACAAAAAAAATCAACTTTAAAGTGAAAGTCGTCGGAAACCCCGGATCCGGCGCGTGCTCTCCGTGCCTGCTTGTCCTGGTGGGGCAGGGCGTGCGGACGCTTTGCCCTGGCCCGGCTCCCTTCACCGTCCTGCCTTTATCCAGCCCGTCAGCAACTCTGCCCCTGTGCGTATTAGTGCCACAGCCTTTAAGTACATGTCAACTTTGGTTTCTAACTTCTGGATTCCTGACTAGAACTCCTCTCACCAAAGGCCAGAATTGTTTGACAATTTTAGCTAATGATAAGCTTGAATTGTAATTTTTAAAAGGAAATTAGCTCTTAACAGAGTGTTAGTTATTTAGAGTGTTCCTAGATTTATCTTCTTGGGACCAAAACCAACAAATTACAGAAGTTATTATCTCCCACTGGTCAGCTCTTTCGAGACTTGGCATAGGAGCAGCGTTGACCTAGTCTAGTTTGGGAATTATTATTTGACATTAACACTTGTTAAGCTCCACGGGTAACATCTGACACAAAGATTATCCTGCACAGTGAGGTTCTTACTTAAGATTGGAGCATAAAGGCCGGCCCGTGGCTCACTCGGGAGAGTGTGGTGCTGATAACACCAAGGCCACGGGTTCGGATCCCATATAGGGATGGCCGGTTAGCTCACTGGCTGAGCGTGGTGCTGACAACACCAAGCCAAGGGTTGAGATCCCCTTACCGGTCATCTTTTAAAAAAAAAAAAAAAATTGGAGCATAAAAGCAAAGCTAATAGGTCAAAATTTAGGGGCAAAGGAAATCATAAACTGTTACTGTGGATTGCTCAAAGTTCCGATCACCTTTCCGTTGTGACATTGAGAGACATCCAAAGGTACTTCTCTTTTAAAGGTTAACATCTTTTATCTCTAAACCAACTCCTGTCATTGGGAACAAAGACATCTTAATTTTATAAGCACGTAGCCCCTCGAGGGGCTTTCTACATTCTCTGTTCTCTGGAAGTGCTATTAACAGACGAGAAAATAACGCAACCAGCTCTTCTGGAGGCCAGCCTTGACCCTGAAATCTTCCTGAGGAGGTGAGTGGCCTGTGTCATGAGTCGTTATACAAGAGTGCCAGTGGCTGGATTCTCTGCACGGCTGGTGGTAGGACAGGCAGAGCTCTGAGCGCCCCGCCGCAGTGGCCTGCTAATGTGGCCCACGCTTGCTGTCCTCCGCACCTGACCACTGCTCGGGTTCTCTGTAGGTTGGCCCTGCAGCTCTGTTTCCCTGGCCTCGTGATTCTCCCTTGGGTTTTTAAAAGGACAGCATCTGTGTGTGTCTAGGCCCCTTTCTGCTAAGGAGGCTCACTCCTAGTTTCCTTAGGCAATTTTAACAAAAACTTCCAGTTCAAAATGGACTGTGCAACACTAGCCAAGAAGGCAGCTGGAAAATCCCCAGAGCTGGCTATTGTGTGCTGAAATCCCAGCCCCCTTCTGCACCCATGACATGCATATCAATTCACGTACTCTTGAGAGGTTTTCAGGTTTGAAAAAGCAAAACCTGCTCCTAGAATCCTGGATTTGAACCTTGTTCCGGATAGCATATGACAAGAGCAACTCTATTCTGTCCAGTATAAACTGGACAAGGCTTCTGAAAGCACTGGAGATAGTTCCTTGAGTCCTATCCAGGGTTTTGCTTTGGGAAGAAATTGAGCAGTAGGAAGCCAAACACAAGACCCAAGAGAGCCTGGCCTGGGAGTGCCTGGGAGGAAGGTGAAGATCGACTGACTCGCAGCCGAGTTTCCAGTAAGTGCTTATTAAATACTCCTTTGCCTAGTTACTAAGAATACAGAAGGGGGAGGAGCTTCCTCCACAGAGTTCATAACAAAGGGAGGAAAACGAGATACAGAATGCAGAAAAACTGGGCTGTAGTGAGGTGCCAGAAGGAGGGCACTGCTCAGCTAACGTAGCAGACAAGGGAAGGTAGCGGTGCTCCCTCCCCACAGTGTGATCGGAGCAGGGGTGGGGGGTGTTGGTCGGATACGCAGAGCTGGGACCTCACCGGTTTGGGGACTGCAGTTCGCAGCTTGTTGCATTCAGCAGTCCACACCTGATCTTTTCAGACTCCTTGTTGCAGTTGGAATTCCTCTTTCCTTTTTCCCTGGGTCTACTCTAACTAGGCTAAACAAAAATGACATAATTCAGAAAATTCAGCCACCAGTAAGTATGTCCAGTGTGATGCTAAAGGAATGTTTCCTGGAGGCCTAGCATAAGTGCAGAAACCAGAACTTGGGGGGAGGGACAGTGCGCCAGCTTTCTGATCTCCTGTGGTGGTGCCACCGTGTGGTCTCTGGGCCTGCAGCATGAACATCACCTGGGAACTTGTTAGAAATGCAAACTAAGGGCCGGCCCGGTGGCGCACTGCTACAGTGCGCGGCTTGGGAGTGCGGTGGCACTCCTGCCAAGGGTTCGGATCCCACATACAGACCAGCGGCTCACTGGCTGAGCGAGGTGCGGGCGCAACACCGAGGGTTGCGATCCCGTTGCCGGTCCCGGTCCGGTACAGGCGCGACACTGAGGGTAGCGATCCGTTGCCGGTCACGAAAAAAGACAAAAAGGAAAAAAAAAAAAAAAAGAAATGCAAACTATGGCTTTCCACCCAGACCTACTTAATCAAACTGAGGATCCAATAACAAGACCTCGCGGTGGTCCTGATGGAGACTGAAAAGTGAAACAGACCTGTAGGAATGGCCCCGGGGTTAACATTTTAGTCCTTAGACACACCTGATCTGATCTGAATCTCTCATCCTAACCTGACACCATGGATTCTCCTCACACATTCTCCTGCTTAACATGCAATAAAGGTAACGGATGCCTCTCCACTCCGAGCCTGGGAAGGAGAGCAGGACAAAAATAGCTGCAAAATTGAGAAGCCTCCTCATCGCCTTCCCCTCCTGCATCCCACCCGTCTGCTTCCTCCCCCGTAACCGACCTGCCTTCCAGGATGCCCTGCTGCTCCCCATCACTCCAGCCCACTCCTAGTTTCTGCTTTCTCTGTTCCATTGTCTACACTGCCAGGCATGTTTTGGAATCTCAGCCTAATAGACCAGCATCATGTGCATGTTCCAGTCATGTGCAAGGCCCTGTTCAACAACCTCTCCACTCCCTGTGACATCTCTTGCAGCTGTCATTGCAGTTTATTGAACAAACCTGAGTGAGCGTTTGGCTTTGCCCTAAGCCAGTAAGTGCCAATCTAGGCTGCCTGTTAAGGAATATCTGGACTTTTAAAGAAACAGATGCTAGGGTCCCCTCTCCAGAGATTTTGTCTTAATTGGTCTGGGGTGCAGCCTGGGCATCAAGATTTCCTAAAGCTCCCCAGGGCAGTCAAGGTTGTAGACCACCGTCTATCAGTGGCTCCAAAACTTGAACATGCACATGTATCATCTGGGGAATCCTGTTATGATCAGATTCTGGCTCAGTAGGTCTGGGGTGGGGCCGGATTCTGCATTTCTAACCAGCTCCTAGATGCTGCTAGGAACAGGACCACACACCAGTAAGGCCTCAACCCACCCTTGCTGGTGACATGACCTTGTTATTTAGAGAGGAAGGCCACTTCATCCGTTCCTCTCACTTCTATGTGCTTTTTCTAATCTTCACCTTTTTTTCTGCCAGTGAAGTCCCCCTCACCAAGCTGACTTCACTTGTGATTTGGGGTCCAGACTCTTGTCTGTCCACCTCCTGGCCAGAGTCCATCAAGTATCCTCTCCTTTTCCTCGGATTCTTCTCTCCCTACAAATGTTGCTCCAGATTCCTCTGTTCACATACAACACGGACGCCCCTTCACTTTCATCCACACTCCTCTCAGGAGAACCGGGCTTTGTTTCCTGCCGCCTTCCTCCTACAGGTTGGCCCCCGTCTTTCTAGAGCCACTGGCTACTTACAGCCCCTCAGCTCCTCCTCGCAGCCCTCTGCTTCCTCTTGACACTGGTTTTCACTGGTGCCATGAGGCCACACCCTCCCGGTTTGCTGACACAGCCTGCCCTCCCGCATGTGCCCTGTCCTTCCCAGAGGTTGGCATTCCTTAAGACTCAGCCCTGCTCTTCTTTATGCTCCTCTGGGTGATTTTACCTGCAACTTTGTCTGCCACTCTGTGCAGACTTGAATTTCTGTCTTTAATTTAGACTTCCTTGCCATACTCTGGTCACCCTTTCCAGATTCCTATTGAACATTGTACCTACATGTTCTGACACTGTCTTATAATTTGATTTTGTTTGTTTTAGTTTTCTATTACTAGGCAGGCCAGTTAGCTCGGTTGGGTAGAGTGTGGTGCTGACAACACCAAGGTCCAGGGCTCCATCCCTCTCAGCCATTGAAAAAAATTTTTATTACTAAGATGATTTACAACTTAATTTCCAGACTTGATTTCCTATAGCTTTCCTATTGTTTTAGTCCGTTTTGTGTTGCTATAACAGAGTTACCTGGGCCGGCCCCGTGCGCGACACTCCCGCCGCGGGTTCGGATCCTATATAGGGATGGCCGATGCGCTCACTGGCTGAGCGCGGTGTGGGCGACACCACACCAAGGGGGTTGTGATCCCCTTACCAGTCACGAAAAAGACAAAAAAAAAAAACAGAGTTACCTGAGACTGGGGAATTTATAAAGAAAAAAGGTTTATTTGGCTTACGATTCTGGGACAGCTGCATCTGGCACAGGCCTCAGGCTGCTTCTACTCATGACGGAAAGCGGCAGGCAGCCAGCGGGTACAAGCAGATCACATGGTGAGAGGAAGCAAGAGAGAGAGAGGAGGTGCCAGGGTCTTTTCAAGCAACGAGCTCTCGTGGAAACTAATAGAGCGAGAACTCACTCATTAATCCCCCTCCCCCAGGGAGAGCATTAAGCCATTCATGAGGGATCCGCCCCATGACTCAGTTTCCAACACTGCCACATTGGAGATCAGATTTCCACGTGAGTTTTGGAGGGGACAACACATCCAGACTCCATCACCTATCATTTTAAAAATCCTTTCATAACCATTTTACTATAATTCACATTGACGCTGGCACCCTCCCCTCCCCCCATGCCATTCACTTATGCTTAAATGTAACCCACTAGCTTCATTGCTCACCTTTCTTGCTTGCTTTTTTGTTTTTATATGTCCAGAGCTTTTTCATCTTTCCGTACTGAAACTCTGTACCCATCAAACAATAACTCATCTCCCCTCCCCCAGCCCTGGTAGTCGTTTTTCTGCTCTCTGTCTGAATTGGACTATTCTGTGTACCTCCACTGAAGCGGAATCATGTTTGTCTTTTGCTTTATTTCACTTGCATAATGTCCTCAGTTTGTCCAGGTTGTAGGATGTGACAGGGTCTCACTTCTTTTTAAGGCTGAGTAGCATTCGTTCTTCGCACACTGTCTGTCCGTCTGGTGGACTCGGGTGCCTTCGCCTCTCGGCTGCTGTGACCATGCTGCTGGGAAGATGGGCGCACACGCATCTGTCCCCGCCCCTGCTTTGCTCAGTTCCTCCGGGCATGTACTCACAAGTGGGACGGCGGGATCCTATGGTGGTCCTGTGTTTCATTTTTTGAGGAGCTGCCACCGTTTCCACAGTGGCTGCACCCTCTGCATTGTCCCCAGCAGTGCACACGGGTCCGGTTTCTCCGCATCCTTGCCAACGCTCATTTTCTGTTTCTTTGGCGATAGCGTCCAGATGGGTGTGAAGTGGTGCCAGTCTCCCTGTACACACTGCCATCCCCTTTCACAACTGCCCTTTAAACTCATACCAGCGGCCACGCTTTGCTTCCCGCACTGCTCTCCTCGCCTGCCCGTCCTAACGCTCCTAGTGGGGGTGGTCACGTCTGTCTCCTGACATCTGTCCCTGGTGTGCTGAATTAGCTGCCAAGCCCTGTTGGCTCTTCACAGTAGTCGCTGCCATCCCTCCCTCCCGTGTGCAGTCTCTTGTTTTATCTCTTGCCTGGGTTTTTGTCATCTCCCTGATCTGTCCAAACTACTCGGCGCTGCCACAAACCTGACCTTTGCCCTTTGGGCCCTACTGAGTGGCATCCTACGTCAGCTTTCCACTGCCCACCAGAAAAAGGCAGAAAAGGCGACCATCAGTGAACCCCTTTTACGTGCCTGGCACGGTACCATGCATGCCACCTCATAGATGGGACAAGCAGGCAGAGAAGCTGTTCGAGGAGAACTTGTTCAGGTCACACAGCCAGTGAGCGGGATTCGAGCCGGCTGGGAGCGGTCTTACTCCGAAGCCCACTCCGCGCTCGTCCCGAACCTGCCAAGTGGCTCCCTCCGCAGCCCTTTCGAGGAAGAGAGCACTGGGAGAAGCGACCGGCCCACTGTCCCTGTCAGTCCCTCGTCTCTCCCAGGGCCTTGGCAATAAGGGCCTGTTCCATGTGGACCGACTCGGCTTATGAGCTTTGGTTTCCCCCACTGCCTTGTCCTTCACCCCAAATTAGACAATTTGCCACTAAAGAGAAGTTGGGTTCCAGTTTCACCTCTCGCCTTCCTTCCAGCCCATACCAATTGCCACTTTCTCCCTGAAACCTTTCCAGTCCTCAAACTGGAAGAAATCCTCTGAGCTCCTGCCGCATTGACTTCACAGTTCAGTCTAACACCCTTGAGGGTAGGGGAGGTGCCAGGTGGTGCCGCAGCCCCAGCCCACCCCACTGCAGTCCACCCCTGTGGCCGAGCGCAGGGCCGCCCCACAAACGTGCTGGCTGAGCGAAGGGTGTGTCCCTGAGGGCCCTTACAGAATCGCCGACCTAACCGCTTACCTGGGTTGGAAAAGCCCA